ACATGACTCTTTACATGTTTTCTTCCCATCATTCTCCTATCTTCCTCCCAGTGCCTTCCTCAGCATATCTCATTAGCTTATGTTTGCTCGGTACCTGCTCAATGACTTCGCATTGTTTATACCCTTTTATCTATTGTCTCTCTTAATAACTTGTTATTACCCTTTTTATCTATTGTCCCTCTTAATCTCTATATTGTTTCTTGTTGGTATATATTTTGTTATGTTTTATTCTCTTGCCATTACATCTGATGACGACACGTGTATATTGTGTTGAAACGTTATGTGCCCAACCTTATTAAAGAAGTGTGTTATATTCCATAATATTGTCTTGTGTTTTGTTATTCTATTAATGTAAAAATTTGGTTGCCCCTCTTCTGAAGTTTATTAACTTATTCTTTAATATAACCTCTATTGAAATAACTTTTTCTTTTGGGCATCTAGAATGAACATAAACTCATATAGAAACACTGCATATTTTATAGAGCATATTGGTGTGTGATATTTACTTGATTGCTATATGACTTATTAATTTTTCTTATTATCGATAGGTTCAATTTGGTCTTCTCCCTATTGCTTTGGTTTTTGAGCTTGATTTAGTTAGTTTTATTTACTCACCCTAGGATCGCATCCATGTACCTTACACCATTCTTCAAAAGCCTTTTTAGCACGATCAATATCTTCTACATTCTGATCTTTATAATATATTCTAATGATATGTTCTTGAAATGTTTCAGGTAGAAGTTGTGACACCTGAACAATAGATACATTCACAAATCTAAATCAGATACACTGTATTTATTGAACCAAATGGCTGTTAATTATTCTTACCATGACTCCTAACAAATTCAGAGTGACATTGACATTTGTTGAGATTGTGGAAAGTAACAATACAATCAAAATGAAAAATGTGTTCCAAAAAACTTTCTTTTAGAATTATATCTTTAAATAGTCCAGGAGCCAGCCAGCGTAATTTCATCCAACCATTTTTCAAAATGGCTGCTATTAACCTGATTTGGCTTGCTGTGAGATTGAACCAATTATTAAAAACAAAGTGTCAACTATGCATATGATGGTGCATAGTTATTGCACATTATTTCCAAGCTATATTAAATCTGTTAAGACTATCAGGGGGTAATTTTCATTAATTTGGTAAAAATTCACCATCCAATATCACAACTCTTCTTAATATAATAATAATTACTTACCTGTTCTTTTCTAACTCTCTTTGTTTCATTTGGTTTTGATTTGGAATAAAATCTCACATTATCAAGAGGATTCTGATCTTTCATTCCATAATCCAAAAAAACATGCTGAAAAATCAAAACATACCCATAATGATAATTAATAACCTTAAATTATTTCTTAAAGGAAACCCGCCATTTTGGGGGATTGATTTTTGTCTTGAATATATGTAAATAGTGGATTTGAACTTTGAAGACTCAAATTTTGAAGGTGAGCTGTGAACACTATTACTCAGTAATAATTTACTGATTGGCTTAGCTAAAAAAAAATCCTGTTTCTGAGACTAAAGTATGATTGGTCAAGAAAATGGCGCATCTGTCTCTTTAACAGAATAGGTTGATTTTTACCTTAAGTACTAGATTTTCAGACTTTAAATTTTTGTCATTATCATATATTACTATCTCCTCCAACAATTTCTTTTCTGTGCCCTGTAGATAAAATAACAATAAATAATATATGAAAAATAACATATTCCTAAGTATTCAAAACTGAACATGGTTAACATATTCCACGTTATGCAGTTCTTTTTGTCGAATATTAGTGCATGTTGTGGCTTTAATGGGGATCTTTGAGTTAATACAATGCATTTCTAAGGTGTTGACAAACAAACATAGGTGTGGTCCACATTGTTTGTGCACATGTTAAAGATAGCTTGCCAGGCAAGGTAATATACGCCCACTATATGAACTCTTTAGGGCGATACTGAATAATATTGAGTATGAGTTATTTATTGCCCATGTTCTTGAAAACATGTTCAATTTTTAGCTCGTGAAAACTTTACAAGGCAAATATTCAATCTTCAGCTCGGTACTGAATAATAAAAACAAGTTTTGTCAAAATCTGGCAAGAATCATGCCTTTTAGTGTTTAAGAGCTAAAATTTGAAAGCGTTTTCAAGAACGAGGTCAATAACTCCTATGAAACATATTTCGGTTTTTTTTATTTTCGATAGAGTTCATCCATGGGTGATAATAAACAATTTCACCAAGTTTCGTCAAAATCTGTCAATAATTGACCCTTCTAGAATGTTTAGAAGCTAGAAATTGAATGCGTTTTCAAGAACAAGGGCAATAACTGTAGATAAAATAACAATAAATAATATATGAAAAATAACATATTCCTAAGTATTCAAAACTGAACATGGTTAACATATTCCACGTTATGCAGTTCTTTTTGTCGAATATTAGTGCATGTTGTGGCTTTAATGGGGATCTTTGAGTTAACAAAGAAATTGAATGCGTTTTCAAGAACAAGGGCAATAACTCCTACCAAATATTTTTCAATTTTTCTGATTTTCAATAGGGTTTATCCTTGGACGATAACAAACACTCATGCCAAGTTTCGTCAAAATCCATCAAGAATTGTCCCTTCTAGAGTGTTTACGAGCTAAAGGTTGAACACGTTTTTAAGAACAAGGGCAATAACTCATACTAAATATTTTTCGATTTTTCTGATTTTCAATAGGGTTTATCCTTGGGTGATAACAAACACTCATGCTCAGTTTTGTCAAAATCCGTCATTAATTGTGCCTTCTAGAGTGTTTACGAGCTAAAAATTGAAAGAGTTTTCAAGAACAAGGGCAATAACTTATACTAAATATTTCGATTCATCTGATTTTCAATAGGGATCATCCTTGGGTGATTACAAACACTCACACCAAGTTTCGTCAAAATCTGTTAAGAATTGTGCCTTCTAAAGTGTTTACGAGCTAAAAATTTAACGCATTTTCAAGAACAAGGGCAATAACTTATACTAAATATTTTTCGATTCTTCTGATTTTCAATAGGGTTCATACTTGGGAGAATACGAACACTCGCATCAAGTTTTGTGTCTTGTAGAGTGTTTACAAGCAATTGTGGACAGACGGATGGACGGACATGGGTGACGGCAACATAAGCCCCCCATTTCATGTGGGCGTATAAAAATGAGAAGACTGTCCTTTGTGACTTAACAAAAAAATGTGAACATTGTGGAGCTACAAAAAGAGATAGTGGCAGCCACGGCATGCGGATGGTAAATATTCAAGATTTTGGGGCAAGGGCAATAACTCTGCTTCTAACGGTCGAAAATAGCTGAAATTCGCACTTGATCTTTGTTTTATGAATATGTATACACATACCGAATTTCATTTGATTTCATCAAAAAATCTAGTTTTTGAGCGTTTACAAGCAAATGTTGACGGACAGACGGACAGACGGACTGACGGGGGTGTCGACAATATACGTCCACATAGAGAGATGTGGGCGTATAAAAATATTACCTTTTCAAAAGTTGTAGGTGGTGTAAATTGCCCTATACATCTAAATAATTGGCGCTTCTGCACTCTGTTCAATAATTCTCTAGCCTTCATTAACTTTGGGTCTTCAGACCATAGTATATCCTGATAAATATTATCAGTCAATTTAGTATATGCTACAACATCATCTATACATTCAGATAACGAACACATTTTCCTGAAATAATATTAATTACGTCCATATATTCACCATTTAAACTATACATATATTCTCTTCATATCACTTACCCTAAGAATACCTGTATAAATTACTCATGAATATGCAAGGACTAATCCTATTAAGATATGTCAGAGAGATTAAATCCCTTTTCAGAATGAAGAAGAAATATATGCCCACTGGCAACCTTGATTTTAAATAAAAATATTTAGCAGTACAGTAACAATTAACAGTATTAAATATCTAACTTATCTTACACTTCTTTGGAACTTTATATGGTGTTTCATCCATATCCATAGGCTAAAACTTGAATGCATTATTTTAGAAATATTTTTCGATTCTTCTGATTTTCGATAGGGTTCATCCTTGGTTGATAACGCTCACACCACGTTTCGTCAAAATTCATCAAGAACTGTGCCTTCTAGAGTTTACTAGCTATAAATTGAACGGGTTTTCAAGAACAAGGTAAATAACTCATACTTAATATTTTTATGATTTTCAGAAGGGTTCATCATTGGGTGATTACAATCAATCACATCAAGTTTTGTCAAAATCTGTCAATAATTCAACCTTCTAGAGTGTTTACAAACTAAAAATTGAACAGGTTATCAAAAATAATGGCAATAACTCATACTAAATATTTTGCGGCTCTTGTAATTTTCATTAGAGTTCATTCTTGGTTGATAAAAAACACTCACAACAAGTTTCATCAAAATCCATCAAGAATTGTGCCTTCTAGAGAGTTTACGAGCAATTGTGGATGGCTGAACCCAGGGACAGATGGACGGACATGGGTGGCAACAATACACACCCCCCCCCCCCTCCCCCCCCCATTTCATGTGGGATTATAAAAAAATGACAAAGCTATAAAAAAGACAACTGATAAATGAAGATAGAAATATTTATAAATTACCCATCTTTACCAGATATTTTAATAACATCATTAGCTATAATCATAGCTTCAACAATCCTGAAATACATCATTTATAAATGATAATTAGAGTCAATACAATAAGAAACAAGAGCCACTCGTGGCACAGAGTGGGACTTTGCAAATGTAGAAAAATGCAAAAGACCCTGAAAAAATCAACCCTCGACGATAATTAGATCAAGCGCAAGAACAGTCTAAAGTTGAGAAATTTTCATTTTTTAGAAGATTCTAATACCAGAAGTAGACGTCAGACCTCACAAATGAAAGTATCAGCAGATACTAAGGTCAATGACCTTTGATCTTGTAAAGGAAAAGGTCTAAAAAGGTCAAGATCAAGAGATATACGCCATCAAAATTTCAAATTGCTAACGACTATAAAACCGGAAGTTGACATAGGACGGCAAATATAAAAGTATAAATAGATAGCCAATGCCAATGACGTTTGATCCTACAAAGGTCAAGGTCTACAAAGGTCAATGTCAACAAAGGTTAAGGTCAAAAATTGAAAATTTTGAATTTCCAAAACCTGTTCCCTCTTTTTTGAACTATGAAGTGGAAACAACCGAAATTCTGAGACACAGTGGCTCAAAATATGAGGTAATTGTATGCAAAGTTCCATTTTGAACAAATGTATACTTTGCGAGTTATGCCCCTGGCCAAAAATGTCAATAATGAGTAATTTAACACGGATGTGCCACGCCCACCTCAATTGTTTTTGCATAGGTTAATTGATATTCAAAATGTTACGTTATGTACCAAATGTCAAGCTCCTACATAATACAGGTCAAAAGATATAGGTCAACAAAAGTCAACAAAGGTCAAAATCGAAAAATGAAAATATACAAATGTAAAAAACCCGTTCCTTTTTTGGAACTATAAAGCTGAAACAACTGAGCTGTTAACACAAACTGGCCAAAAGGATGAGGTAACTGTGTGCAAAGTACCTTTTTGAACAAACGCATCCTATGCGAGTTATGCCCGTGCCTCTAAATGTAAACAATTAGTAATTCAACCCGGATGTGCCACGCCCACATAAGTTTTTTGGTCATAGGTGAATTTATATTCAAAGTGTCTAGTTGTATTCCAAATATCAAGGTTCTACATCAAATAGATCATAAGATATACATACAACAAGCTCAAAAAGACGGAAATATTGTAAAAAAAAACTCAAATTTGAAAAAATCACGAATTTCAATTTTGCTTTAAAATAACGATTGTTATATATCTATGTAAAGTGCATGAGAAGCACATTAGGAAACCGAAAAAATTAACCCTCTAGGTTATTTAGGTCACGCGCTAGAGCAGTTCAAAGTTGCGAATTTGGCTTTTTACGGATAGCTATAAAACCGTAAGTACATGTCGGAGGTCAAAGGTCAAAGTATCAATTGATAGCCAAGGTCAATGACCTTTGACCCTATGAAGGTCAATGTCATCAAAGGTCAAGGTCACATGGTGTGGGTGATTTAAGTTGGAAAAAAATTTAACCGGAAGTTGCAAAAAAGCAAAAGCGAAATTCAAAATTTGGCTCCCACTGTTTTTTGCGCAATCGATTGTGCGAATACATTCACATCAAATTTGAGCATATCAACCTTTACCCTGAGAACTTATTTCGAGTTTTACAAAAGTGTGTTTTTTCCATATGGCGGCTAAAGTATCACTTCCAGTCTGGATTTTATTTTAAAATCGGCCATAAAATTTTATTTGCCAAAGATCAGCTAAATTTTGTTGACCTACATAAATTACACCGGAAGTTATTCAACCGGAAGTAGATTTGAAGTTCAGCCGCTTTCCTGTTTAAAATCGGAAATGACGTACAAAATTTGACTGTATCATATTATTAACATTAGTGAAGTCTCTTTGCATTTAAAATTTCAGATCAATCGATTCAAAAGCAAAAAAGTTGCAAAAAATCGAAAAATTTGATCGAAAAAAGTGAGCGACGAATTTTCGAATTTCGTAATTTTTGCACATGTTGAACTGTGGCACTTCCGGTATTGCAAAAATGTTCCAATATATATTTAAGGAACATGTTGCCTCTACAGAAGGTCTAGAGAAGTTGAATGGTTGCTGCAACTACAGTAGACTAAGCTCAGGAAGGTGTGTAACTTTCGAAAAAAAAAAAAAAAAAAAAAGAATTGACATTTCGATAACAAACTGGGACTTTGCGGTAGCAAAGTCACACAAATATATAGTTTCTAACGAGACAATACAATTTTAAAATACACAAAACATACATTCTTATGTTTAAAGGCTAGTGCACACGAGAGCTCCCAGCTGAGCAAAATTTCATTCGTGCCTCTCAGTTCAGCTCGTAGCTCTCGTGTGCGAGAAGTTTACGTAAGGTTTTTTTCATTCGAGGCGTTAAGAAAATTATTTGTCGTGTTTGATAATTTTTTCCTCGAACGAAAAATACCTTACCGTGTGCGCACTCGAAAGCTCTTAGCTTTCAACTTTGAACTGGGGCGCATGCGCTAGCACGTGATCAAACAAAAATGGCTGCGCCCATCGGTGAATGCGAGTTTGTATCTGAAGACAAGTTGGTGGACGTATGGCCGGAATATCCGTGCCTATACGATGTACGGATCCCCCAATTTAAAAACAGAGATAGCAGAGAGAAGGCAATTGAAGAAATTCCCTGTAAAATTAATCATTCGAAGGGTTTTCGACGTTGCACATTTTGTTTAAGTCACGTGAGAATGTCACGTGATCTAGTTATTTTTAGACGTCTATGACTCGACACCCCGTTTACGAAAGCTCTAAGCTAAGCGTGTGCGGGGGAAACCGACGAGCTGGGAGACACGAATGAAATTTTGCTCAGCTGGGAGCTCTTGTGCCTTAACATCCTTACCAAAGTAACTTTTTAAACTGATTTCTGTACATTCTGAAACAAGTGGTTACGCCCATGTCAAATCGTACCAAAAATGTAATTAGTACAAAAAAATTTTCATTAAATTGGACATAAATAAACTGCCAGCAAATTTCAATACATTTTCACCAAGTCAAGGGCAATAACTCAAATTCCATTCATTGAAAATTGTCAAATTCAAACTTGACCAAGATCTCATTGCAACAGATGATCACACCAGATTTCATTAAAATCAGTGGTCTTTATAGTGTTCACAAACAAATTTTGGCGCATTTTTACTAAGTCAAGGGCAATATCTCAAAAACCATTCTTCAGAAATTGTCAAATTCATCATTATGATTGATTACACCAAATTTCATTAAAATCAGATAAAAACTTTTGTATTCACAAGCCAATTGTGGACGGACTGAGGGACAGACGGGTGATGACAATATACGTCCACATTAAAACGTGGTGATTCCAAAAAGAAAGATAGCTTGCCAGGCAAGGTAACATACGCCCACTGGCAGCTGTCAGAAATGATAAAACAGTCTTTAGTGACTAAAGTATGAATTTTCTCATATTAACGAAATCTTAATAGTTTGAATTCAATGTTATATATATTTACTGCCAGTTATTAATGCTGAGAAATTCCACCAAATTTATAAAAATCAATATCAATAACCCAAATACATCAAATTATCGCATCAATATACATGATCACACCAGGGTTCATTAATATCAATTGAAAACTGTAGTCTCTAATATGTTCACAAACAAATTTTAATGCATTTTTCCTAAGTCAAGGGCAATAACTCAAAGATCGTTCATCGAAATATTATCAAATTCGAAATTGTCCAAGATCTCATCAATATAAATGATCACATCAAATTTCATTAAAATCAGTTGAAAACTGTAGTATCTATTGTGTTCACAAAAAAATTTTGACGCATGTTTCCTAAGTCAAGGGCAATAACTCAAAAACCTTTCATCGAAAAATCATTAAGTTCAATCTTGACTAAGATCTCATCATTATAAATGATCATACCAAATTTCATTTAAATCGGATGAAAACTGTACCCTCTATTGTATTCACAAACAAATTTTGATGTGTTTTTCATAAATCAAGGGCAATAACTCAAAAACCATTCATCAAAAGATAGCCAAATTCGAACTTGTCCAAGATCTCATTATAAATATTAACACCAAATTTCATTGAAATTGGATGAAAACTGTAGTCTCTATTGTGTTCACAACCAAATTTTGACGCGTTTTTCAAGGGCAATAACTAAAAAGCCATTCATCGAAAGATCGTCAAATTCAAATTCAAGATCTCATGAATATAAATGATCACACCAAATTTCATTCAAATCAGACAACATAGGCTTGCGGCAAGTCTCGCAAGTGAATACACCCACCAGCAGCTTGATAAAGAGCTAAATGTGAGCTGTAAAACAAACTCTATATTGTAGCCTGTAGAGTGAGCACGAGCAAAAGAAGTGAAATCAGAGTTTAATGCAATATCTCTCAAGAAAATCATTATATGTGAAACCAATCATCCAATTGTTACTAATTTCAAGCTTTACTGAGATCTCATACCAAGTTTCATCACGATCGGATAAAAAATGTAGTCTCTATCAGGCCTACAAGCCAAATTAGACGCACTGAATTAATTCAAGGGCCATAACTCCAAAACCTTTCATCCAATTATTACCATTTTTTAACTTGAGATCTCATCAATAAATACATGCATACCAAGTTTCATTGAGATCAGGTAAAACTGCACCCTTTATCATGACTACAAGCAAAATTTGAAGCGTTTTTACTAAGTCAAGGGCAATAACTCTGAAACCAATCATACGATTATGACTAAATTCAAACTTGACCGAGATCTTATCAATATATACATGCATACTTAGTTTCATCAAGATTAAATAAAAAATCTTAGCCTTTATCATGCATACAAGGCTAATTTAACACGTTTTTACTAAGTCAAGGGAAATAACTCTGAAACCGTTCATCCGATTATTACTAATTTCGAACTTGACCGAGATCTCATCGATACATACATGCATACCACGTTTCATGAAGATAAGATAAAAACTGTAGCCTCTATCTCACCTACAAGGCAAATTTTACCCGTTTTTTCTAAGTCAAGGGTAATAACTCAGAAACCATTCATCCGATAATTACCAATTTCGAACTTGACTGAGATCTCATCAATATATACATGTATACCAAGTTTCATTCAGATTGGATAAAAACTGTAGCCTCTATCGTGCCTACAAGAAATGTGAATGGACGGACGGACAGGGGCGATGACATTATCATGTGGTCGTATAAAAATAAAACAAACTGTTTATTGATTAATTGTACGAAAACACCCCCAACTAATAATTTCAAATAATCACCATTAACATAAGAGTATGAACATACAATCAAATGAATTGAAATTTTAACATTATATCTAGAATTTCTATCTATTTTATACACATATTTTTTGTGCATGGTGGGTGTGGTCCTACCTGAATCATTATTTTCTGTGGGGACTTTTGTCATGAGAGTGCACAAATTACAGAGGGGCTTTTGTTTGGAAGGGCTTTTGTCCGCCATTCATTTTCTACAGTATAAAAAATTAACTTACATAGATTCTATGGCATGTGTGACAGCATGTTGGTAAGCACGGCGATGGAGGGCATTTCTAGTATGAAACATGTCATATAAATTACCATCTTCCTGAAATCAGAAATTGAACCTTATATCCATACTCAGCTCACACATTCAGGATTTTAGCTAATGACTGGAGATTGAAAGATAATTGATTTGGCAATACTTTTTCCACATGATTCAAAAGCAACATGAACACTAGAACCACACGTGGCACAGAGTGGGACTTTGCAAATGTAGCAAAATGCAAAAGACCCTGAAAAAATCAACCTTCCACGATAATTAGATCAAGCGCAAGAACAGTCTAAGGTTGAGAAATTTTCATTTTTTAGAAGATTTTTATACCGGAAGTGGACGTCAGACCTCACAAATGAAAGTATCAGCAGATAGCCAAAGTCAATGACCTTTGATCTTGTAAAGGGGAAGGCCTTAAAAGGTCAAGATCAAGAGATATACGCCATTAAAATTTCAAATTGCTAGCGACTATAAAACCAGACTTGTTGACTTAGGACAGCAAATATAAAAGTATAAATAGATAGCCAATGCCAATGACGTTTGATCCTATAAAGGTCATGGTCAACAAAGGTTAAGGTCAAAAATTGAAAATTTTGAATTTCCAAAACCTGTTCCTTTTTTTGAACTATGAAGCGGAAACAACCAAAATTCTAAGACAAAGTGGCTCAAAATATGAGGTAATTGTGTAAAAAGTTCCATTTTGAACAAATGTATACTTTGCAAATTATGCCCCTGGCCAAAAATGTCAATAATGAGTAATTCAACCCGGAAGTGCCACGCCCAACTCAATTTTTTTTTAATAAGTTAATCAATATTCAAAATGTTACGTTATGTTCCAAATGTCAAGTTCCTACATAATAGAGGTCAAAAGATATAGGTCAACAAAAGTCAACAAAGGTCAAAATCGAAAAATGAAAATATCCATATATATGCGAGTTATGCCCCAGCCCCAAAATGTAAACAATTAGTAATTTAACCCGGATGTGCCACGCCCACATAAGTTTTTTTGTCATAGGTGAATTCATATTTAAAGTGTCTAGTTATATTCCAAATATCAAGGTTCTACATCAAATAGATCATAACATATACATACACTAAGCTCAAAAAGTCGCAAATATTGTAAAAAAAAAAACTCAAATTTGAAAAAATCACGAATTTCAATTTTGCTTTAAAAAAACGATTGTTATATATCTATTTAAAGTACACGAGAAGCACATTAGGAAACCGAAAAAATTTACTCTCTAGGTTAATTAGGTCACGTGCTAGAGCAGTCCAAAGTTGCGAATTTGGATGTTTTTGGACAGCTATAAAAGCGAAAGTAGACGTCAGAGGTCAAATATGAAAGCATAAACTAATAGACAACGTCAATGACCTTTGACCCAATAAAGGTCAAGGTCATCAAAGGTCAAGGTCAAAAATTGAAAATTTTGAATTTCCAAAACCTGTTCCTTTTTTTGAACTAAGAAGCGAGTTATGCCCCTAGCCAAAAATGTCAATAATGAGTAATTTAACCCGGAAGTGCCACGCCCACCTTAATTTTTTTGCATAGGGTAATTGATATTCAAAATGTTATGTTGTGTTTCAAATTTCAAGCTTCTACATTATTCAAGTCAAAAGATATAGGTCAACAAATGTCAACAAAGGTCAAAATCGAAAAATGAAAATATCCAAATGTTAAAACCTGTTCCTTTTTTGGAACTTTAAAGCTGAAACAACTGAGCTGTTAACACAAACTGGCCAAAAGGATGAGGTAATTGTGTGCAAAGTCCCTTTTTTAACAAACGTATCCTATGCGAGTTATGCCCCAGCCCCAAAATGTAAACAATTAGTAATTCAACCCGGATGTGCCACGCCCACCCCAATTTTTTTGCCATAGGTGAATTCATATTCAAAGTGTCTAGTTGTATTCCAAATATCAAGGTTCTCCATAAAATAGGTCATAAGATATACATACACCAAGATCAAAAAGACACAAATATGGTAAAACAAAACTCAAATTTGAAAAAATCACGAATTTCAATTTTGCTTTAAAAAAGCAATTGTTCTATATCTATGTAAAGTGCATGAGAAGAACATTAGGAAACCGAAAAAATTAACCCTCTAGGTTAATTACGTCACGTGTTAGAGCAGTCCAAAGTTGCGAATTTGGCTTTTTACGGATAGCTATAAAACCGGAAGTACATGTCTGGGGTCAAAGGTCAAAGTATCAAATGATAGCCAAGGTCACGGTCATCAAAGGTCAATGTCACGAGATACAAGTCTTCAAAAACTGAAAAAAATTCGACCGGAAGTTGCAAAAAAGCAAAAGTCAAATTCAAAAATCCATTTCCAACATTTTTGTCGCCATCGACTAAAGTATACACCAACATAAAAATTTGACCAATCCCATTCTCCCCCGAAGCCCCATTTTGAGTTTTATGAAAAAGTATCAAATCAAGATGGCGGCCGAAGTATTTTTTTCGGACTAAATTTTATTTTAAAATCGGCCATAGAATTAAGATTAATAACGATATATATAATTTCGTTGAATTATTTCAATCACACCGGAAGTTATTCAACCGGAAGTGACGCAAAAATCGATTTTCCACTTTAACCGGAAGTGACGCAAAAATTTTGAATACGTCAAATGGTTTACATTAGTGACATGCATCTTTCATCAAAATTTCAGATTAATCCGAAAAAAACTGAAAAATGGTCCAAAAATTTCGAAAATCGGCCAAAAAATGTATTTCAATAACAAACTGGGACTTTGCTCACAATTACATGAACATGAACATTATTTTTGAATTTCTGAACAGAGATATTCAAGTTATTTTTCCACATAGAAAAGAACATCTAAGCTGTAAAAATGACTTGATAATATATTAACATCAATGAATAATAAACAAGATATTTTACCTTATCACGTAAACAAATCTGTTGAGTTCCTGTTTCATCAGGAATGACTCTCATAAACTTCATACAGCGAACATGGTCAAAATTGTTTTTTATGCCCAACATATGACAATCACGGGCAAAATAGTCCCATTTGTCAACATCAATAGAATTTCGTTTATTTGCGACAATCTGGAAATAAAAATTCAGGTGATATCAATTCAATGCGCATATATGTTATCATCTTAAATGATGGTCCAATTATTATGAAAACAACTTTGACAATTAACTGCTGAATAACCAACATAAATCCCTAATCACTGAAAACAGCAATAAAAAAATATTTGGACAAATTTCAAAATCGAAAAAATGTGCTTTTTAGAACACGTTTTTCTATGATTTCTGCATTTGTAAATAAGTAGGAATCAATATAACTAATTTCCAATAGTAGCTTATATATGACCAAGTCTTACAGGGGCATTCTGCTTTAATTTCAACATGTAAACTGGGCTTATTATGCATGATATTATATGTATAACCTTTGTATAGTTTCTATACGGGTTGATCTGGTGACAGAGAAACTATTTTCAACATCAAATTTTAGAATTAAAAAGAGTTAAAAAATATGAGACAGAGTCAGACTACATTGTGCTATCTGAGTCTTATTATTAAGAGCAGCAAAGAATTTCCCAAGTAGTCAAGTTAACCAGTACTTTTAATCCCTTCTTAAATTTTGTATTAGACTTTGTTGTCCAGACAGTGCCAAAAAGTATTTGCTGTTTAGGTGAAGGTCATAGCGCAAGATTTTCATGGCGACTTGAGAAAAATGTGCTCTCATCATTTCTTAGGTTTGTTTTCTTGCTTATTCATATATTTTTAATATTTTTGTGATAACAATGCTGTCATTTTGTTGCAAAATCTTCCTAGATTGTGTTAGGAATATTTTAATGTGATGTCCCTTAGCAAAATGGTCCAAAATTAGTTTTTAAGTGCTAATATAGAATCTTTCGTGTAGCGCAAGAGGTCACGTGACTTAAAACTTTCTGGAATCTTGTAGAACACTTCTTAAATATGTTTAAATTACAATTTCAAACATATTGTTCTCTATTTTTATTGGATTTATGACACTTAAGAGTTAGTAATGTTATACTTCTTTCCTGTATTTATGTATAAGGTATTATGACAGTTGCTTATATTATTCATGGTGCATATTGAATATATTGGATAGATGTCATTTTTATGCAAACAGGTTTAGGAGACAGGCGCATGAGGAAAAGCTTAAAGTATACTCTGTAGATATAAAACATCAGGAGTTAGTTTTATCACATTTATTAATCATATATTCCTAGTCATTATAATGGTGCAAAATATCATGGTTAAATATGTTCAATAATTATCATGTGGATATTACATTACTTATAGAGAGCTAGAAATTGATACTAAAGTCTTCTTGAAGTCATATTCCAATTTATTGTCAAACGTTTTAATAACGTATTTTATTAATTTTTCAGATGTTGCTTGTCATTCCACCTTTTTCCACCTTTTTCCCTTGTTATGTGTATCTTACGTAATTGTAAAGCACTACATGAAATAAACTTTATAAGACACATTCAAAGATCTTTCCAGTAGGAAACGTCACTACGTCACAAATACATGATGTGATTTTACCTACGGACCTACACTTTAGAAGGTACATTTGTGAAATCGCTGCTGATTGTTATTAACAATTGGTGGTCCATTTCTCATAATCAAATATCTCCAGTACAGTAAAAGATAGCTTGCCAGGCAAGGTAACATACGCCCACTGGCAGCTGTCAGAAATGATAAGTCTTTAGTGATTAAAGTATGAATTTTCTCATATCAAAGAAATTTTAATAGTTTGAATTCAATGATATATACATTTAATGACAGTTATTTATGCTGAGAAATTTCACTAAATTTTTAAAAATCAATATCAATAACCCAAATACATCAAATTATATCATCAATATACATGATCACACCATGTTTCATTAAAATCAATTGAAAACTGTAGTCTCTAATGTGTTCACAAACAAATTTTGACGTGTTTTTCCTAAGTCAAGGGCAATAACTCAAATACTGTTTATCGAAAGATCGCCAAATTCGAACTTGACCAAGATCTTATCAATATAAATGATCACACTAAATTACATTAAAATCAGTTAAAAGCTGTAGTCTCTATTGTGTTCACAAACAAATTTGACGTGTATTTCCTAAGTCAAGGGCAATAACTCAAAAACCGTTCATTGAAAGATCGTCAAATTCAAAGTTGACCAAGATCTCATCAATATAAATGATCACACCAAATTTCATTAAAATCAGTTGAAAACTGTAGTCTCTATTGTGTTCACAAACAAATTTTGACGCGTTTTTCCTAAGTCAAGGGCAATAACTCAAAAACTGTTCATCGAAAGATCCTCAAATTCGAACTTGACCAAGATCTTATCAATATAAATGATCACACTAAATTACATTAAAATCAGTTAAAAGCTGTAGTCTCTATTGTGTTCACAAACAAATTTTGACGTGTATTTCCTAAGTCAAGGGCAATAACTCAAAAACCGTTCATTGAAAGATCGTCAAATTTGAACTTAAGCAAGATCTCTATAAATGTCACACCAAATTTCCTTAAAATCAGTTGTAGTCCCTATTGTGTTCACAAGAAATGTTGACGGACCGACGGACCAACAGACCGGGCGATGGCAATATACATCCACATTTCCATGTGGGCGTATAAAAAGGGAGCCCAGGGGATTAAAAATACTTAAGTAACCGGTAAGGACTTATGTGGCAGTTTGGGACTTAACGCTCTATATGTTGGCATGCAGTTTAATGTATTCCAAGCTCCAAACCACAAGAACCGATTTAAAAAAGCAGAATGCCCCTTTAAACTTGAGCAGTTTTAATTTGAATCATATTTTTACAATTATAGTGTCCAAAAAGTCAACTTATTGGGGACTCACTTTATGATGACCTTGACCCATTGTTACAGGTTTTTCTGATTGAAAAAAAGTTGTCAATAGTTGCCCAACAACATTTTTTTCATTAAAAATACAATTTTTGTTCTTGTTTTTGTTTATCTTCTTTGCCAGAAAATCAAATGGGTGATCTAAAATTCAAGGAATACTTATTAATACAATTAATACTTACTTCATATAAATAACCTTTATCAGGACGGCCTTTTAATACTTTATTCTTCTGAAATCAATACATACTGCATATAAACGAAGATATATTACATTATTTAATACTTTTTAATTGGACTTTAGTCAGTTGCATGAATTATTGTGGTAAAAAAACTTCAAGTTTGAAGCGTTAATTATTTAAGGTTTTGTTATTCTGCACTTGATGACAAATATATACAAGGTGTTTGATAATTTTCACCTCTAATGATCTAATGCTTGTGTCAAGATAGCTTGGAGGCAAGGTAACATATGCCCACTGGCAGCTGTCAGAAATGATAAAACAGTCTTGAGTGACTGTTTATTAGTTTGAATTCTATTACCTATATATATATGCCAGTTATTTATGCTGAGTAATTCCAAAAAATTTTTTAAAATCAATATCAATAACCCAAATACAACAAACAATTAAATCACACAGCTCTAATCAAGGGCAAAAAAAAACTTTTGATGCGTGTTTACAAAGTCAAGGGCAATAACTCAAAAAAAGTTCATCAAAAAAATCTCAAGTTCAGAACTTGTCCGAGATCTTATCAATTCCAATGATCACACCAAGTTTCATCAAAATCAGTTGAAAACTGTAGCGTCTATTGTGCTCACAAACAAATTTTGACACGTTTTGCATAAGTCAAGGGCAATAACTCAAAAACCGTCCATCAAAAATGCGTCAAGTTAGAACTTGTCCAAGATCTTATCAATTCCATTGATCACATCAATTTTTATTAAAATCGGTAGAAAACTGTAGCTTCTATAGTGCTCACAAACAAATTTTCAAGCGTTTTACAAAGTCAAGGGCAATAACTCAGAAACCATTCATCGAAAATGCGTCAAGTTAGAATTTGTCCGAGATCTTATCAATTCATCAGAATCGGTTGAGAACTGTAGCTTCAATCCTGCTCACAAAGTATTTTTAACAAATTTCGAAGCGTTTTAGCAAAGTCAAGGGCAATAACTAAAGATAGCTTGCGAGGCAAGGTATCATACGCCCACTGGCAGCTGTCAGAAATGATAAAACAGTCTTTAGTGACTAAAATACGAATTTTCTCATATTGAAGAAATTTTATTAGTTTGAATTCAATTACATATATATGCCAGTTATTTATGCTGAGAAACTCCACAAAATTTTTTAAAATCAATATCAACTAGAGCCACACGTGGCACAGAGTGGGACTTTGCAAATGTAGCAAATTGCAAAAGACTCTGAAAAAATCAACCTTCTACGATAATTACATCACGCGCAAGAGCAGTCTAAAGTTGAGAAGAATTCTTTGGAAGATTGTTATAACGGAAGTAGACAGACCGCACAAATGAAAGTATCAGAAGATAGCCAAGGTCAATGACATTTGACATTGAAAGGGAGACGGTCAACAAAGGTCAAGGTTACGAGATAAAAGTCATCAAAATTTTTAAATATATACGGCTATAAAATCCGTAAAAGTTGAGATAGGACAGCAAATATAAAAGTATAAATAGATAGCCAATGTGAATGACCTTTAATCCTACAAAAATCAGGGTCAAAAAAGGTCAAGGTCAAAAATTGAAAATTTTGAATTTTCAAAAGCTGTTCCTTTTTTTGAACTATAAAGCTGAAACAATCGAACTTCCAAGACAACGTGGCTCAACGTATGAAGTAATTGTATGCAAAGTTCCATTTTGAACAAATGTATACGTTGCGAGTTATGTCCCTTGCCATAATTGTCAATAATGAGTAATTTAACCCGGATGTGCTACGCCCACCTCAATTTCTTTTTCATAGGTTAATTGATATTCTGAATGTTAAGTTGTGTTCTAAATTTAAAGCTTCTACATCATACAGGTCAAAAGATATAGGTCAACAAGAGTCAATAAAGGTCAAAATAGAAAATTGAAAATATGGAAATTTCAAAACCCGTTCCTTTTTTGGAACTATAAAGCTGAAACAATTGACCTATTAACACAAACTGGCCAAAATAATGAGGTAATTGTGTGCAAAGTTCCTTTTAGAACAAATGTATCCTATGCGAGTTATGCCCCTTTCCTAAAATGTAAACAATTAGTAATTCAACCCGGATGTGCCACGCCCACCTCAACTTTTTTGTCATAGGTTAATTTATATTCAAATTGTCTTGTTGTGTTCCAAGTTTCAATGTTCTACATAAAATAGGTCATAAGATATATACACACCAAGCTCAAAGAAACAGAAATATTGTAAAAAAAAAACTCAAATTTGAAAAATTCACGAATTTCAATTTTGCTTTAAAAAACGATTGTTATTAATCATTTGAAAGAGCATGAAAAGCACATTAAGAATCCGAAAAAATTAACCCTCTAGGTTAAATAGGTCACGTGCTAGAGCAGTCCAAAGTTGCGAATTTGGCTGTTTTCGGACAGCTATAAAACCGGAAGTACATGTCAGAGGTCAAATGTCAAAGTATTAACTGATAGCTAAGGTCAATGACCTTTGACCGTATGAAGGTCAAGGTCATCAAAGTTCACGATCACGAGATATGACCCTTCAAACTTTGAAAAAATTCAACCGGATGTTGCAAAAAAGCAAAATTGAGAATCGAAAAACGGCTTCCTAATGTCATGTTTTTTTTTTATCTTCTTTCATTTGACACCAAAATCATTTAAATCAGATGAGCCATTATGTCTGAATAAAAATCGAATCATTTCAGAAAAATCAAAATGGCGGCCAAAGTTTCACGTCTGTTCCGGATTTTTTTTTCTTCGTTTTTTTGTCATAACTTTGTCTACCTATCAGCATAAAAATTTTTGTCCTATACAAATTACACCGGAAGATATTCAACCGGAAGTGAACATCGTTTTCCTGTTTAAACCGGAAGTGAAATTGAAAATTTGACTGTACCATTTTGTCTTTGCTCAATTTTTTTCAGATTAATCAGACAAAAAGCAAAAAAAATGAAAAAAATGCAAAATTTGGCAAAAAAAATGTCTGTGACAAATTTTCGAATTTTGAAATTTTGAAACTGCTATTCTTTCAGATTTTAACAGTAGATTCCAAAAATGCAAACCCAAAGAAAATCGACCGAAAAAAAAAAAAAAAAAGAATTGACATTTCGATAACAACTAGAACCGTTATAACGGTACCGAAGCAGTGCGCATCCAACCTGATACATCGATAACACGTTGCATTTTAAAGTCAAAATGAGATATCTTAACGGAAAGAAAAGCATGTAAACATTCAATAGTAAAAAAAATCGTTTAAGCCGTTTAACGTTCGGTAGTGAAAAGACGCATGGATTTGATACCATTCGGTACTAAAAGGTGTTAACATTCGGTAGTAAAAAGTTGAATTTTCAAATAGCTGTAAAGTGAAAAAAACAAATCGCACAACAAAAATGGAATTATTTTTGGAAAGGTTTTGTCAGATACTATAACTTGTGTTATGGTCAAGAGGTCAACAAAGGTCAAATAAAAGAAATATAAGCTTTAAAAGTGTTGAAAATTCCTGTTTTGGGACGTCTGTAAAGGCGAAAATCTATGTCGGTCATCAAAGATAAAAGTATGAATGGACATCGTAGATCAATAACCTTTGACCTTGTAAAGACCAAGGTCATGCATGCAAATGGCCAAAATATCAACATTTGATAAATTGTAAAACCAATTCCCTTTTTTAAAGTAAAAGGCCCAAACAAAATTTAACTCTATCAATTATTGTCCCAAATAGTGTTTTAGTTTTATTTAAAACTTCGATGGTGACAAATGCAAACTTTGCGAGTTATAACAATTTGAATTATTTAAGGTAAAGGTAAAAGTAACCCGGATTTGCCACGCCCACTGCATAAATTTTTTGTTGTCTGTAATAATGTGTACAATGTCAAATAATGTTCAAAATTTCAAGTGTTTACAATCATTTGATCATGAGATATTCGTATTTAAAGTTACTATAGAAGTCAATACAAAATTTTCAAATTCTAAAAAGCGCAATTTCAATCAAAATGCCAAGTGTTATATATCATTTGAAAGAATAGATTGTGTGTAAGAAGGAAATAAGAGAAATTTTCACGTATGTAAATTAGGTCACGTGACAGAGCTCTTCAAAGTTAAAAATCGCGATTTTCGATTGGCTGTAGAACCGGAAGTTAACGATGCACAGCAAAAGTGAAGGTATTATCTGATATATCTCGTAATGGGCAACAACTTTTGTTCAGGTGAAAAGGTCAACAAAGGTCAAATAAAAGTAATATGAGTCTTTGAAGTTTCTAAAATTGAACATTTTTAAAATTGTTAAAGCTATTCCCTTTTTTAAAGTAAAGAACGCAAACAACTGTTATCTTATCACAAATTGTCCAAAATAGTGATCTATTTTCATGCAAAATTTCAAAGGTAACACTTGGAAACTTATGGAGTTATGACAATTGCAAATATTACAGATAAAGTAAATGCACACCGAATGCGCCACGCCCACTTCAAAAATTTTAATTTGTCTGTAATGATGTGTACATTGTTAAATAATGTTCAAAATTTTATTAGATTATGAGATATTCGTAGTTGAAAGTTTTTTTTAAGGCAACGGTGACTTTCGGTAGATTATAGACACCGTGAATTTACGCACAGTTACTATAGAAGTCAATACAAAATTATTAATTTTTAAAACGCGCAATTTTGATCAAAATATCAAGTGTGATATGTCACCAAAAAGGAGATTTCATGCACTCAAAGAATATATAAGAATTTTTGTTGTATGTTAATTAGGTCACGTGACAGAGCTCTTCAAAGTTAAAAATCGCGATTTTCCAATGGCTGTAGAACCGGAAGTTAACGATGACCAACAAAAGTGTAGATATAATCGGATAGATCTCGTAAGAGGCAACAACTTTTGTTCAGGTCACAAGGTTACCAAAGGTCAAAGTCACTAGATATGAGCCTTAATATTTTTGACAATTACTGAAAACATAAAACCGGAAATAAAAAAAATACAAAGCCAAAATTCAAAAATCGGCTTCCCATGTTTTGTTAGCAATCGATTGTAGTTTACATAAACATCAAATTTACGCACATCCAATTTTACCCTGAGGCCCCATTTTGAGTTTTATAAAAATGAGTCATATCAAATTTTTTGATTCCAAAATCTTTACGGGGACAATTATAACTAATTGCAAAAAGAATTTTTCAAATATCTACAAAATTCCGTTGAAAGTTGAAATTTGAAGTTTGGAGGCGAATGACGTCAAAACCGGAAGTGATATCAAAATTTTGAAAGCATATTTTTGTTCACAATCAAAATGTTTATCTACATGAAAATTTTCAGATCGATAGCAATAAAATTGTGGAAGTTTAAAAAATGCTTTAAATAAAATCTCAAAAAGTCAGCGACAAAAGTCAAAATTTGAAATTTCTTAAATTGCTATCTTTTAGACATTAGTTCAAAGTAATGAACAAAACAAAAATTATGTTCAAAATAGATTCAGAATAATAGCAGATATTGGAAAGACGTAATGAACGGTTAAAGTCCTACGTCATTTCCGGTTGGGCGAAGATGCGTCATTTTACATTTAAACAATAGCGACACGCTAAGTATAAGAGATGATGATGTCAGATAATCTGTGGTATGTGCAGTTTTGGCTGGGGAGCGTGACCAGAAGTAGACAAAAAAAAAAAAAAAAAAAAAAAAGTCATTTCGAAAACAAGGCAGTGCCTTCAAAGAACGCACTGCAATAACCCAAATACAACAAACAATTAAATCGCACAGCTCTAATCAAGGGCAAAAAACAAGTTTTGACGGGTGTTTACAAAGTCAAGAGCAATAACTCAAAAAAAGTTCATCAAAAATATCTTAAGTTAGAACTTGTCTGAGATCTTATCAATTCCAATGATCACACCAAGTTTCATCAAAATCGGTTGAAAACTGTAGCGTCTATCGTGCTCACAAACAAATTTTGACATGTTTTTCATAAGTCAAGGGCAATAACTCAAAAACCTTTCATCGAAAATGCGTCAAGTTAGAACTTGTCCAAGATCTTATCAATTCCATAGATCACACCAATTTTCATCAAAATCGGTAGAAAACTGTAGCTTCTATTGTGCTCACAAACAAATTTTCAAGCGTTTACAAAGTCAAGGGCAATAACTCAAAAACCATTCATCGAAAATGTGTCAAGTTAGAATTTGTCCGAGATCTCATCAATTCATCAGAATCGGTTGAGAACTGTAGTTTCAATCCTGCTCACAAACTATTTTTAACAAATTTCGAAGCGTTTTAATAAAGTCAAGGGCAATAACTAAAGATAGCTTGCGAGGCAAGGTATCATACGCCCACTGGCAGCTGTCAGAAATGATAAAACAGTCTTTAGTGACTAAAGTACGAATTTTCTCATATTGAAGAAATTTTATTAGTTTGAATTCAATTACATATATATGCCAGTTATTTATGCTGAGTAATTCCACAAAGTTTTTTAAAATCAATATCAATAACCCAAATACAACAAACACTTAAATCACACAGCTCTAATCAAGGGCAAAAAACAACTTTTAACGGGTGTTTACAAAGTCAAGGGCAATAACTCAAAAAAAGTTCATCAAAAATATCTCAAGTTAGAACTTGTCCGAGATCTTATCAATTCCAATGATCACACCAAGTTTCATCAAAATCGGTTGAAAACTGTAGCGTCTATTGTGCTCACAAACAAATTTTGACACGTTTTTCATAAGTCAAGGGCAATAACTCAAAAACCTTTCATCGAAAATGCGTCAAGTTAGAACTTGTCCAAGATCTTATCAATTCCATAGATCACACCAATTTTCATCAAATTCGGTAGAAAACTGTAGCTTCTATTGTGCTCACAAACAAATTTTCAAGCGTTTTACAAAGTCAAGGGCAATAACTCAAAAACCATTCATTGCAAATGCGTAAAGTTAGAACTTGTTCGATATCTTATCAATTCCAATGATCACACCAAGTTTCATCAGAATCGGTTGAGAACTGTAGCTTCAATCCTGCTCACGAACTATTTTTAACAAATTTCGAAGCGTTTTAACAAAGTCAAGGGCAATAACTCAAAAACCATTCATTGCAAATGTGTCAAGTTAGAACTTGTCCGAGATCTTATGAATTCCAATGATTATGCCAAGTTTCATCAGAATCGGTTGAGAACTGTAACTTCAATCCTGCTCACGAACTATTTTTAACAAATTTCGAAGCGCTTTAACAAAATCAAGGGCAATAACTCAAAAACCGTTCATCGAAAATGCGTCAAGTTAGAACTTGTCCGAGATCTTATCAATTCCAATGATCACACCAAGTTTCATCAGAATCGGTTGAAAACTGTAGCTTCAATCCTGCTCACGAACTATTTTTAACAAATTTTGACGCGTTTTAACAAAGTCAAGGGCAATAACTCAAAAACCGTTCATCGAAAAATGCATCAAGTTAGAACTTGTCCAAGATCTTATGAATTCCAATGATCACACCAAGTTTCATCAGAATCGGATGAAAACTGTAGCTTCAATCCTGCTCACATACAATTTTTAACAAATTTCAAGGCGTTCTAAGTCAAGGGCAATATCTCAAAAACCGTTCATCGCAAATATGTCAAATTCGAACTTGACCGAGATCTTATCAATCTAAAGCATCACACCAAGTTTTATCAAAATCAGATAAAAACTGTAGTCTCTATAGTGCTCACAAGAAATGTTGACGGACAGACCGATGGACCGACCACACATTCATGTGGGCGTATAAAAACCGTTCATCAAAAATGTGTCAAGTCAGAACTTGTCCGATATCTTATCAATTCCAATGATCACAACAAGTTTCATCAGAATCGGATGAAAACTGTAGCTTCAATCCTGCTCACAAACTATTTTTAACAAATTTCAACAGGTTTTAACAAAGTCAAGGGCAATAACTCAAAAACTTCATCAAAAATGCGTTAAGTTAGAACTTGTCCGAGATCTTTTCAATTCCAATGATCACACCAAGTTTCATCAGAATCAGTTGAAAACTGTAGCTTGAATCCTGCTCACGAACTATTTTTAACAAATTTCGAAGCGTTTTAACAAAGTCAAGGGCAATAACTCAAAAACCATTCATCGAAAATGCGTCAAGTTAGAACTTGTCCGAGATCTTATCAATTCCAATGATCACACCAAGTTTCATCAGAATCGGATAAAAACTGTAGTCTCTATAGTGCTCACAAGAAATGTTGACGGACGGACCGACGGATATTCAAAATCTACCACAATTATTACTGTATTTTTGTCACAAATATTTAAGAATTAAATTATATTTAAATTCAGATACTTTTATTAATGCAATTTCATAGTGTCACATGAAAAATTATGTTTATGAATAAGCAAAACTGGATTGGTGGTATTTATGATGCCTCGTTGATGGGTGTTTAATAAATCGTCATTGTGAGAATACAGTACAATAATACAATACAGAAGGGCCAATTTTGATTTGACAATATTTAGCTATGAATACGTAATCTCGTTGATGGGTGTTTAATAAATCGTCATTGTGAGAATACAGTACAATAATACAATACAGAAGGGCCAATTTTGATTTGACAATATTTAGCTATGAATACGTAATTTTTCTCATTTGTGTAACCACGGCCCCGAGAAAGTATGATGAATGTGGTTTGGACACAATGGTTATTATCATGCTATGTTATTGAAATGAAATGAAAAATTATAAATAATCAAGGTTCTTCACGATGTTTGGACCTATAAAGTACACACATGTCCATCATGTGTTGCGTACGTGACAGTTGACATGTTTCCTAATAGAAAGGGATATAATTATAGTTATGATATCCAGAAATTCGTTAAACTGCACAATTTTATCAGGAACAGAAATGTGAGGATAAACGTCGCTCCACTGTGTATCTAAAAATTCATAAACAAGATATTTCAAAGTGTTAAAACTGTGCTATCATAGTTTATTCTATATTTCAGAGCAGGATTTAGGTGGAATAGTAGAATAAGAATGATGTTATGAAATTTGTTGAAACTAACCTCTAACGGTCCATATATCAATTCTTTAATAAATATTAGATCAATATCAGTTATTTCATATTCATCAAACTCACCACCTAGTTTATTATCTTCAATCATGTACTCCAACATATCTATTGATGCCTTTTCGTGCTGTAAATGGAGATACAAATGATTTTATTATTTATTAAAGTTCAAGAATGTCTTTGTCAAGATTGCTTCATGCTCAAAACAACTGAGTAACTAATACTCAAAATCCACTCAATAATGTTCCAACTTTTTCATTCACAACCAGACTGTTCATATGACAATTTAGTTTTTGCATGTTTTGCAGAACTCTCACTAAGAAGCCATTTCACTAAATACTCTATTCAGGTCAAATCTATATTACTTTCATTACTACTAAATGAAATGAAATAAATGAAGTTTTACGTCCTACTTTTCATTACTACTAAAGAAGAAATAATAATTAAGGTAGTAAAGTTTTATTTTAAGTACAAATCTAGACGTTTTGTTTCAAATTTTTTCTGAGGTGACTTCACTTGCCATCCATGATCTGACGTAATTTTAATGCACTTCATGCTCTGAGTCCAATGATAGTCAAGCAATCATATATTTTGTTCCATAATAGATTTCCTGTCATTATGTGAGAAACTCTGGGACATTCATTGTTACAGTGGATCCGTGTTTATCCGGTTGCCGATAATCTGGAAACCCTGATATCTGCACGCTTTTTACTTTGACCGGAATATTTACTGTGTAAAAGTAACCGTTAATCTGATGCTCCGGTTTCCGGTTCCGCACGACTGTGATTGGGAACCAATTATCAAATTCTATAGTAATTAGTATTCATCATCTAGTCGCATGTCACTGTGAGTTAATTTTTTAATCATCATGTGTAAGTTTGTTCAATCATACCTGAATACCAGTGTCATCTTTCGTTCAGTCATACCTGCATTCTATTACATGTATTGATATGGAACGATAATAAATGTTTGTCCTACGAAGTTACGACAAAGAAATTTGTGTTTATAAATAAGCGAAACTGGCTTCCAGATTAGTATTATTCAGGATGACTAGTTGATCGGTGTTTAATAAATCATTATTTGAGAATATGCAGTTTATTTAATGATCACGTGTAAGCCATCTTTCGTTCAGTAATACTTGAATTCAATTTTTCGTTCAGTCATACCCGATCACCATCATGGCTATGGAACACATCAAACATTATCGCTACGAAGATACGGCACGGAAATTTATGTTTATAAATTAGCAAATCCTAATTCTAAGGAATGATATTTTTATTATCGTGCTATGATAGTGAAATTAAATGAAAAATTATAAACAATTGGTGTTCTTCACGGATGTATTGGCCCTATAAAGTATACACATGTCTATCACATGTTGCATACGTATGATACGTGACACTTAACAGGCTTCTTGATAGGAAGGGACATAACTCTAGCTATAGATGGCATGTTTTAACTATCCGGATTTTTGTTAAACCGCACGATTTTTATCGGGGACGGGAATGTGCGGATAAACGAGGCTCCACTGTATTATATTGTTTGACACAACTAGCTAGTTATATTGAAGATGGTTTGAAGATGAAACACGAAAGAAAACTAACGTTTACTTACAGTCCATTCTGTAGTGGGATCAACCTTCGGTATAAACTGATTATCATACATGTGGGAAAATGGTCCATGCCCTGACATATTGGAGAAATCAGATACAATTTATGTACGGTATACTACTAAAATATAGTAACTACATTTCATGTGGGAGTTAAAAATGTCTTCCAAATTGTCACAAACTATACCCTTTTCCAATCAGATAAAATAATATAACAATTATATGAATTGGTTGACAACTGTAGATGCTACAACAAATCAAATATTCAGGGAAAAGGATTATATCTCTGTATATCACAATGCAAAAAAGCAAACGTCAAGAGACCTTTACACAAACATTTTGACAGGCATTTGTGCTGACAAGATACGTTCACATAGAGAGGTTTACATAAAGATCTACAGACAAACAAACACTAGAGCCAACTCTGTCTGAGAATAGCTTTAAATTGAAAGAAATCATTGAAAAATACCTAAATCATGGCAAAGACCAGCAATTGTAACACACAACCTATCAACTTCTGTGATCTTTAATTCTGGTTGTAATTCTTTTAATCTTTTAACCATTTCAGATGCAAGGTAACTAACTCTGTGCAAAAAAAAAAAAAAACACTTGAAATTTTAACAGAAGAAATGGCCAAAGTTGAACCAAATATAAAGATAGCTTGCAAGGCAATGTAACATACGCCCACTACCAGCTGTTAGAAATGATAAAGTCTGTAATAGTTTAATATGTGAAATCATCCGATTGTTACTAATTTCTAGCCAAATTAGATGCATTGAATTAATTCAAGGGCAATAACTCCAAAACTGTTCACCCAATTGTTACCAATTTCAACTTGACTGAGATCATGTCCATATATACATGCATAATAAGTTTGATCAAGATCTGATAAAAATTGCAGCTTTTATCCTCCATCCAAGCCAAATTGAATGCGTTTTCACTAAGCCTTTATCATACATGCAAGTCAAATTTAACGCATTTTTACTGAGTCAAGGGCAATAACTCTAAAACCGTTCATCCGATTATTACCAATTTTGAACTTGACTGAAATCTTCTCAATATCTACAAGCATACTAAGTTCCATCAAGATCAAATCAAAATTTTAGCCTTTAGCATGCAAACAAGCAGTAAATCATTACCGTAAATGTAAGATACAGATATATGGTAAGATTAGGAATAGGAAGTAAACCTGTTAAAGGTACATTACACATTTTTTGTAGGTAGACAAATTTTTTCCTCAGATTATGATAACTATACACCAATATCTGGAAAACTTGTCCCCCTAACATATCTCAAAGTCACAAACACCCAAACTAATCAAAAGCATTTCTTACGCCTTTTAAATTTGTGTTTTTTTCATAGGTGTAAGAAGACTACTGTACTGATTTAAACATAATAAACACCTACTTCCAGAGAAATATGTCTCCAACTTATTCTGAAGGTTTCAACTAAAACTATCAAGCTGTTATAAAGCCGAACACCAAAACTAGGTCAAACTGCTTAATTAACAATCAGTACTCTCCATTATTAATTAAACTTTATAAAACAATTTCAGATTTTTCAAATAGATACATAGACATTAATAACATATTTCAGAATTCTTTTCAGGTATACCTTACAACACTTTTGATGATGAAAATTTTGCAAACTGCCTCCTTAACTTTTCTCTACAAAATTTTCCTATGTTAATTTGAATACCCCAACACTATGATATAAATTGCAAATATATCTTTATGACATTAATTTCACATATATGTGCTCAATTTCACATTTGAATACAAAGAATTCCAAGAAAATAAAAATAGACATGAGGCTAGGCGTGGTATATTCCAGTAACCTTAAATCTTACTTACTAGATTTATCACTTAATTTCTAAGAATATGAACATTGGTTTACATAGAAAATCAAATTTTTCTTGTAATGTTAAGTATAAGTTATAATCAAAATATCTATATGAGGTGTTATATACTTCAACTCAACCTTATCTCAATTTATCGAGTGTTTCTCAGAAATCTATGTACTTGGAATGCAACTATTATCCAAGAAAGACATATATCAATTTATCACTTGATTTCTATGAATATGTTTTTATTTACATAGCAATGACGATCTTTACGCATTACTCATGTTCTAAGAAATGAATTAACCAGTTTTCAAACGTTATCTATCTGCACACAATCTTTTAATGATATTTTATAGTCAAAACTTTCATCCTAATTATTTCTCCTGAATATTTACTAAGACCTCATTCTGGCTATCCATTTAACTTTTGAGGATTATGACATATGTTTCCTTAAGGTTGGCGCACATTTACTGATTTTTTGTTGGATAATATTATGAGGTGTGTGTGTTGGTCCACAACAGCCCTATGACAAAATCGGGAGTGATCGGGAAATATCTGGCATGTTTAATGGCAAGACGTTCTGACATGACATTCCTGATAAATTGTTGTGACCAAGTTAAAGTTCAAACAATAGAATTCAAAGTACCTATCACATGCTCACTTCGTCTTTACTAAGTCAAGGGCAATAACTCATCATTATAAATTGTTCAATATAATAGATGACTATTATTTTTTAGAATATTTACCCATGTGTTGTGCTATACAGTATCCACATTATTTGGATCAACTAAAAATGGACTAAAAATCTTTGTGAAATGGTTTGTGTGTCTTCTATTTTATTGAACAATTTCTTAAACCTTTGGACCCACTGCATCTTCCTTAGCTGAACATCATCATTTTATGAAGCAATATTGGATTCCTACCATGAGAAGAATGTTGTAATGTTACTTAGCAACTGCCAAATAAAGTGACATCATTGAACTTCAACTGACATTTTATGTGTGTCTGTCCCTGAGGACTACTTAGTTTTTTCTATAGCAGATTATTTTTTTCAATGTTTACACATTATAAGTTGGTCATATAAAAACTACCCTGTTATTATATTCAACAAAAGTTAAGGTTCTTTTTATGTTTTCATTTTTACATCCAATATTCATTCTTTCATACTTAACTCTGTTCTTTTATAAGATTTTTCTTAACAACAGCATTTTTAATCTTTTAACATCACGCTTCATTTTTAATTTTCTTGTTCCATAAGAAAGAACTTAAGTATTCTCGAGGACAAAATGACAATAAAAAGATCTAATTTTCATAGAAATAAGATTGACTGTTTCTTCCTGGAATGTGGAATGTCATCAAAATAGATGTATAATTATACTTACCCAATCGAATGTTCAAATCTATTGTGTGTCGCTCCAGGATATACAAAATAACATGCTCCAAGTTGTTTCAAATAGCGTAATCTTTGAAACTGTGGGGTATCTATTATTTTGACACATAATGGATGAAGTTCAATATGACCATGAATAGGATCGTTAAATACCTACAATAATTAATGAGTATATTGAGTATAAAAAATCCTCAATGAATGTGGCCATTAGGCATTAATTTACTCTTTTCTCAAACAAAATTATAAGAGATTAATGCTCAAATATCTCAGATTTCGTTCTTCAAATTCCAAAATGCATCAATAATGATAAAAAAAATCCAAAATTTAAATGGTACATTAATAAACTTACTTTTAAATCAAGATAATTTGTTGAACTTTCTTCCTCACTTTCTGTTTCATTAGTTTTTCTACGCTTCTTAGAACCAGGGCCATTACCTTCCTTTCCTGCCATAGTATTCGAAAATTTTACTAAAATGATAAGTAACAGAAATAGTTCATAACATTTAATCAAACAATACCGGTCAAATAAAATCTTGTGGAAAAATCACACACAAACAGATTTTTGATTCACCTCAATGGTTCAACTGAAAAGCAGCTGGCTAATCTGTATAGAGGCACACTCTATATATACAGCACTGAGGCACAGTCTAGTAGTTTGATTGGCTAGCAAGTCAACAGGGTTAAAATTTGATTGATGTTACTTAGTAAACAAACCAATTACTTTCATACATTATTTCCAGTGAATCACATGAGAATATGAAATAAGATGTAATGATAATATATTATCCTCTGCTTATATTAGGGACTATCAGTATAAATGCAACTAACAATAAATAAACGCCCCCATTTCATATGTTCAATCAAACAGCCCTCTGCAACTTATCACGGTAATGAATGTCCATTTTTTTAAAAGTAATTGTATTGTAACGTGATCACATGGTCCTGTTAATTTAGTTATCTACCGCTACTTATTTTTTTTCTATAGCAAATTACATATTTGAATGCTTATCCATGTGTAATGCTATAGAGTATCCATATTGTTGGATCAACTAACATTGGTAAAACTTTGTGAAATGGTTTGTGTGTCTTCTATTTTATTGAACACTTTCTTAAACCTTTGGACCCACTGCATCTTCCTTAGCTGAACGATCATCATTTTATGAAGCCATATTGGATTCCTACCATGAGAAGAGTGTTGTAATGTTACTTATGCCTAGTTCACACAAACTGCGAATTACGCGCTTTAAATCGGCGAGCAAAGCGCCATCATTTTAGTTTACTTTTCCAAAAATATCATGATCTCCTAAGTAATGTTACGCTCTGATAAGCTCTGATACGAATTGGCTACGCTTTGGGGACGAATTATTTCCTGATTTGATCAGGCCTTGTTACACTTTGTTACGCTTTAAATCACGCTTTGATGCGCTTTATTACGCTTTGATGCGATTATGACGCTTTAAATCACGCTCTGATACGATTATCAAGCTCTGTTGTGCATTGTTAAGCTCTGTTAGGCATTGGAAAATCTGATCCACAGCAGATCCACAAAATCATTGCATCTTTGGCACGATGGCAGAACAACAAGATCCAGAAGTTCCAGATGTACCAGAGCATAAATCTATCTGAACAAGACACAATGTTTGTCTCCCTACTGTATAACTATATCCTAGCCCTTGAGACGGAGGAGAGGGAAGAAGAACAGCAAAGACAAGGGGAGGTTGACCTACCAGCAGGAGGGAGAAGACCATTCATCAGGAGCTGCTGGACCAGGCCATAGCTCAATGAAGAAAGAAGACAACAGTATGGTCAATACACTAGCCTCCTGGGTGCACAACTCAGATTAGAAGACCCTGCTGCCTTCAGAAACTTCACGAGATTGACCCCTGAGGTGTTCGATGATATCCTTGAGAGAGTGGCACTAGTCATCCAGAAGCAGCAGACTAACTACAGGTGACCCTTTTCTGCTGGCCTCAAACTGGAAATGACCTTGAGACATCTGGCCACTGGGGACAGCTAAAGGACACTGGCATATGGATACCGATGTGGTACCTCCACCATATCAGAGCTGATTCCGGAAGTGTGCAAGGCCATTGTACAGCCGTATAAAGATGAAGTCTTCAACCCACCTACCTCCCCTGAAGCACGGAGAAACCTTGCCCAGCAGTTTGAACAGAGGTGGAATGTCCCCCATGCAGTTGGTGTCTTGGATGGAAAACATATAACCATCAAGAAGCCAGCAAACACAGGCAGTCTCTCAAACAACGGAATAGGATGGGATGGGATGGGATAGGATGGGATGGGATGGGATGGGATGGGATGGGATGGGATGGGATGGGATGGGATGGGATGGGATGGTATTCTCCTGACGCTCTTCAGCTTGCCTCTGTCCCCCGTGTAGCACTTCCATGAGCTTGATCTCTGTGGTCCGTTTGATGTCCCCAGGAAGCTGTGCCAGACCCTCACCTATATGTCTGGCCAAGAAGGACGGACCACCTTTCTTGCCAGGCACAAACTCCATCAGATTTCGCCTCAAGTCACCACTCTGTGATGAGTCTCCGAGAGGAGGGCTCTGTAGACTGGGACTCTGTTTCACAGTTTCGATGTGGTCTTTGATGAAGGAGAACTTCTCCCACACCCAATTGTCCATGGCAGACAGGTCCTCGACTGTCTCAGCACCATCACCCGACTTCCCTACAGTCCTTTTGATGCGGGTCATCTTGGTACGGTTGGACTTGTAAAAGGTTTTGAGGTCTGCCACCTAAACACCCATGTCAGCAGCTTTGTTCTCCCATAGCTTCTCTTTCAAGTCTTTATAATCTGTCAGTCTCTTTGCGTAGATGGAGGGATTGTCTTTTAGCCAGTCAATGACCTCTTCTTTTTGCGCATCTGTCAATGTTGTATAGTAATATGGTATGTTCTTATGCTTTTTGCAGGCTGCTGCAGTGATGTCTGGGTGATCACCCCCTGCAGGGTGAGACTGTGGCTGCTCTGGCTCTGAAACCAGCATGGCTTCATCTTCTGATGGGGATGGTGTTGGAGACCTTGACCTTTCAGCCACCTGGCCTCTGCCTGTCCCTCTCTGGCTCATCTTTTCTGCTCCTCTACCTCTCTTGGGTCCCATCTTTGTGTAGTTTTTCAGGTTCAGGATACTTTTTCTGAAACAATGCAATGAGGACCTATGGACTTCGTAGTCATGTATGAGTGGTACTCAAGTCGCAGCTCTGAAGTCAGAGCTTGGGTATCATAGGAGAGCGTGACAGAGCATGAGGAAGCTTGTTAAGCGTAACAAAGCGTGTCAATCCTTGATCAAAGCATCTCAATTCATGGGAAAGCGTAACAAAGCATGTCAGATCTTCATGCTAGATCGTAGCAAATCTTGAGACATCTTAACAAAGCGTGTCAAGTGGTGACAGATCGTGAAGACTGGGATCCCCGCTTTGAATAAAGCTCTGTTAAGCTTTCCTACGCTTTGAGTCAAGCTTTGCTGAACTTTGTTAAGCTTTGATACGCTCTCGGCGCTTTAATCAATTCGTGACAGAGCGCCTGAAATTTTTAATTTTTTTGGCGCTCTTGCCGAATGTCCCTCTTTGCTCAAAGTTTTTAACAATCTATTACGACCCTGACACTTTGGTCGAGCTTTGTTACGCTTTGTCTGTCCCTGAGGAAGGGGGCCTTTGACCTCAAAGTAATAACCACTTGATTCATATTCTGGACACATTTCAAACATCAGTACAAATATACTTTAATTGCATAAAAATTATAACACGTTTATTATATAACATTGAATTGACATTGATATGTGACAGCTCATAAGATGAGAACTCGATATAATTTTGTCTACCTGGGTTCTCTAATAGATAACATGACTTTCTATCAAAATAATGACGTTACAAATCTTTTTTACATTTCCCAGTAAAATATATAGCATAAGTCTCAGAAATAGAGCACTGTCAAAAGTTGAGCATTCAAATTCATGTGTGTACAGAATTATCCGCATTTGAAGCGATTATGCGATTTTCTTGTAGTTCTGAAGACTATTTATATTATATTCAAGACCTAAATCAACCTCTGAAAATGGCAAACCATGGCCTTTAAGTGATAATTAATAATTACATCCAAAAATTTTCCTCTTTACAAGCCAGAAACAAACACTTTTCAAATAAAAAGGACTAACTAATTAGCCATTCTTTTTTTATATTTTTGATAGGCTTCATTCTTGATCCATTCTGAACAATTTGACCAAGTTTCATTTAATAAATATCTTTAAATAATTGTACATTTAACATGGTTCCAAGAATAAAGACAATAATAACTCATATCAAATATTTTCAGATTGTTTTGATTTTCAATGGGGTTCATCCTTGAGTGATAATAAACAATTTCGCAAAGTTTTGTCAAAATCTAAAAATATACGACTTTTCATTGATTTCGTTGAAAATCTCTGGGAAAACTATGTTCTTTGAAAGCAAATATCGTCTAAGAAAGTCAGAGACATATCGTCGTCTGGGAGTCAAAACCTCGTAAGTCGATTTGGGAAAGTTTTCAGGAAGCGATAAAAACTGGATATTTTTGTAAGTATTTGGGATAGTGGCTTCATATTCTGCACTGACGTACTCAGTGGCATGATTTATGTGCATATATATATTTCATATATCCACACCAGCAACAAACAGCCTCGTTCTGGACTTACGTGTTTTTAACAGTATCTATCGGATACATATTTGATTTACGTGGTTTTACCCTGAAAATCTGAGAGACACGTGTTTTATCACATTTAAACTAGCACTAAAAACGTGGTTTTAAATAGTTTTATTTATTAGAATCAAATTTAATAATAATGAGGTTTACTTCTTGTAAACATGGTATAATTTGATATGAATGTATCACGAAAGTTAAGATTGTCGTCGACTCGAGACTTTTGTTTTGTAAAAACCAATGATGCCATGTGTTATCTTTACGCCAAATTTATTGTCCTGACATTGACGACACTCTTAACTTTCATTTTTACTCAATTGTTTCATCAATTATGAACTAAATAATTAAAGCTAATTGACATCTTAGAAAAACAGAAAGAATAGAACCAAATCACTATTATTATTTATTTGACCATTATGAGAAAAAACACCATTATGAAATCAAATTGTTACCGATTTTGCCTAATCATGTTCCAAAAAATTATAAAATCCGTGATAATCGACTGGGATTACTTTTGATTATGTTTGGATTTTGAAGCTTTAATTTTGATACTTGACAAGTACAATTTCGAAATTTCTGTTTCAACCTGAGAAATGTTTTTTGCCTTTCTTGGGAATTCTCAGAAGTCTTCAGAATACCTAGTTTTAAATCGTATTATTTCATAGGGAGAATATTTTAGAACGCTCAAGTCAGTAACACATTGATCACCAACTTTTACACCAGGTCTTATGGAGGAATAGTAATCTTGCTGAAATCATAGAAAAAGGAGTGATCAAAGTATTTCACAGTGTAAGGTTTATTTAATCGAGCTCGCTTTATTGCATCAACATAATCAGCTGGAACATAGATAGGTCGATGTCGCAATGCATGTTCTATTGTGGAATGGATGCTATCTCATTCCATTTGTGTATGGCCCTTTTCAAGGATCTTTTGTATTATTATCAACCCTTTTGTAACAGATAAATGTAAAAGCATATTTGATAACACACAATTTTTTATTTCGATAAACACAACCGTCGCTATATATAATCAGGACCTGACCACACCAAAACTAAAATGTAGTCATACAAGCATCTGGCAAACTGATTCGCACCCAATTCTGCCTCACATTCGTGCCAAAAATAGCAACAAACATCACGCTTTGCCAGATCATAAATAGTATAGTTGTGACATGCTAGCTTTGTTTTGTAATACATGGCACTAGCTTGTAGAGATGGCGCCATCATCACTGCCTGCAAATCTAGCATTACAACCTTACACGTCCCTCCCTTATCTCTGATCTTCTCATCTCTTGCTTCTGTCTTCTTTTCTAAATGCTTTAAATACCCTTCTTCGTTCACATTACCTGTATCATGACCACAGCAGATCTTTCTTTGGATGAAATAATGACACTTTTAAGTCTTCAGCTACCTCTTTAAATACTCTCTCGGACAAATACTTTTCACCTTTACTATCACAAAATTCTTTATACAAATCATGTAGTCTTTTAAAAGACTGTAAATCAGGCTGTAGATATAACCGGGATGTAGAGGAACGACAGGTAACTTTGGTAGTGACTCAATGAATACTTTGGCAACATTCCTTTTATGTTGGTTTTAGTTACGTTTACGGTTTGTTTTTGCTTCCAGAAAAGAAGACTTATGTGTGCTATCACCTTTAACGGAGGTTCTCGTCCAATTTAACAATTGCCATTCTCCTATACTAAGTGTTGAAAGCAACATCTGAACTCTCGAACTCTTGAATCATCCTTCATGAGGTAGTACACCAGAGTTCTTGTGCGTCTTGATGTGTTTTCTGGTTATTTCCTTTCCACAGGTGCATGCAAATCCACATTGTTTGAAATAAAAACTTTCTTTTGGTTCCAATCCAAGCTCCAAAATCCATTCAAAATACTAAACCTATCTTCTGAACTAAACTTCTGAAAGATAGCTTATATTAAAGTAATTTTAATAGTTTGAATTCAATGATATATAAATTTACTGACAGTTATTTATGCTGAGAAATTCCACCAAATTTTTAAAATCAATATCAATAACCCAAATATCAAATTATCTCATCAACATACATGATCACACCATGTTTCATTAAAATCAATTGAAAACTGTAATGTGTTCACCAACTAATTTTTCATGGGTGTTTCCTAAGTCAAGGGCAATAACTCAAAAACCGTTCATCAAAAAATCATCAAGTTCGAACCTGACCAAGATCTCATCAATATAAATGATCACACCAAATTTCATTAAAATTAGTTGAAAACTGTAGTCTCTATTGTGTTCACAAACAAATTTTGACGCGTTTTTCCTAAGTCAATGGCAATAACTAATAAACCGTTCATCGTCAACTACAAACTTATCCAAGAATTCATTAATTTAAAAGATCACACCAAATTTAATTAAAATCATCTGAAAACTGTAGTCTCTATTGTGTTCACAAACAAATTTTAAAGCCTTTTTCCTAAGTCAAGGGCAATAACTCAAAGACCGTTCATCGAAAAATCATCAAGTTCGAACTTGACCAAGATCTCATCAATATAAATGATCACACCAAATTTCATTAAAATCAGTTAAAAACTGTAGTCTCTATTGTGTTCACAAACAAATTTTGACGCGTTTTTCCCAAGTCAAGGGCAATAACTCAAAAACTGTTTATCGAAAGATTTCCATGTGGGCGTATAAAAATCGTTACATTGCGTTAATTTATTTTTTTCACATGATTTCAAGCAGCGACGCAGTCCAAGAACCTTTGCTTCTTTTGGTAATACAAAACTCCAGTTTTCTAATTTCAGTTTTCTTGAGATCCTTATACTGCTCAACTTTCATTCTGGCCAAATAGTTCTGTTTTCATGAGATACCCCTTTTTAAGATTGTTTACCATCAGCTTCAGGATTGTCAATTTCAACACCACTAAAATCTAGATCCGACGCATGTTCATGACATGCTAGCTCTACAATACCATGATTGTCTGATGGGTCTGCACTAGGAATTACCCAAGGTTCTTTCCTCTGTGGTGCCCATTCGGGATCTTTAGGATCGGAAATGTCGAAATCTTTGGAATCTCCATAACTATTTGGCATGTAAAGAACCTCTGGAGTTTTATGCAATCTCTTTGATGGACCACCATTGAGCTCAGGTGTATGATGATCATTAGTGATAGTATCAGTTGAATCGTACAAATCAGAAGACGATCTACCAGTATTGTCTTTTACAGAATCATTGGCACAATCAAACAAAGATACAGAAGACGATCTATTATCTTTTACAGAATCGTTGACACTATCAAACAAAGATACAGAAGGTGGTCTTTTGTTTTTTACAGAATCATTGGCACTATCAAACAAAGATACAGAAGACGATCTAATATCTTTTACAGAATCATTGGCACCATCAAACAAATATACAGAAGACGATCTTCCGGTATTTTCTTTTACAGAATCATTGGCACTATCAAACAAAAATACAGAAGACGATCTATTATCTTTTACATAACCATTGACGCCATCAAACAAAGATGCAAATCTCAAAGTCTGGGAAGATTATTTTTTGCCATTTTCTGTTGATTGCTGTAAAGCCAATTTTAAACAGGCGTCTCCCCTTGAATATGTGTTACTGGTAAACTGTTGAGGATTCATCTACAAAGTAACAGTTCTTTATTCAGTAAAGATAAATGCATGCTTCCAAAACTGTTTTAGATACATAATCCTCTTCAGGGCAGCTTTATTTCAAATCTGGGTTAAATTTTGACTTCACTGAAGAGGAACGAGAATATTCTACATAACGAAGAGCCTAGTGCATATCTAATTGATTTTGGCTCATATCGAATGACATACTGGTGACGTACTACTTTAGGTAAAACCTTGCATGTCCGATAAAACAATTTGAAAGATTACTGCAAAACCATGTATGTCCGGAAAACATCCAAAAAAAAAACAACCCATGGACAGAGTTTAACATGTTTTGAATATAAGTGTAAAATTCATTACAATCAATTCAATAGATTTGTAATTATGTCGTTCTTAATGGTCAATTCTTAGATTTACCCGTCGCATCCAGACATTCGCAGATATAAGGTGAATGGACCAAAATTCAGCATAAAATCACAAAGATATGTCGAAAAACCTTACCTTATATTCAATTACAAGGCAGAGGTCATCACGTCTTCAGGCTACACGAGAGTATCGGTGATGTACATGGTTTTACCGTAAGTATTTAGTATCCAATGAAATTACAAGTTTTTGTTCATGTGACTATAAGTCGAGATTTTATTGGAGTAGAGATTCAGGGTTTACACATAAGGTGTATTAGGGCGGGAATTTTCTTCAACAATTTGGATACAAGATTTCAATATAAACAAAAAGAGAAAGAAGGATTCATATTCTAGTAGTAGTTAGTAAGCAATTATTTAAAATTGTTTATTAGTCCAGCGGCATAGCAAAACCATTGTGCATTTTGTGATACAAGCAACAAATTTGGCATACTGTTACTTTAATATGTGTGAAAATTTTGGGATATAGAGCTCTGTAAAATTCCGCCTACGTTAGACACCATTTTGAATATTAAAATGGCGGCAATCAAAAATTTATAATTGTCTATATTTCTGGATCTATAAGCTATAATCCCGTTCTTGGTGTCTAATTGTATATTTTAGGGTTCAAGGAATACATCGATGCAGGTTTCTAGTAGCTACAACTGCCACCATGTTGAATTTCAAATGGCGACCATCAAAAAACTATAATTGACGCTATTTTTCTGGATCTATGTCAGCTATGAACTTGGTGGCTAATTGTACATTTTGGGGGAATACAATACAATACATAAAATACAATACAGCCGCAGCTGTAGCCACTTGAAACATAAACCATTGGATTGTTTGACCAGAACTATCAATAACAAATATTTTCGATGGTCGACATTTTGAATTCAAAATGGCGTCTTATGCAGGTAGAATTTCAAGTGGCTCCATATCCAAACCCTAACTTAACCCTAACATACGCTCACTGGCAGCTGTCAGAAATGATAAAACAGGTTTTAGTGACTAAAGTATGAATTTTCTCATATCAAAGAAATGTTATTACTTTGAATTCAATGATATATATATTTACTGCCAGTTATTTATGCAGAAAAATACCACAAAATTTAAAAGAAATCAATATTAATAATCCAAAAACATCAAATTATCGCATCAATATACATGATCACACCATGTATCATTAAAATCAATTGAAAACGGTAGTCTCTTCTGAGTTCACAAACAAATTTTGACGCGTTTTCCTAAGTCAAGAGCAATTCCGTTCATTGGAACATCAAATTCGAACTTGTCCAAGCTCTCATCAATATAAATGATCAAACCAAATTTCATTCAAATTAGTTGAAAACTGTAGTCGCTATTGTGTTCTCAAACAAATTTTGACGCGTTTTTCCTAAGTCAAGGGCAATAACTCAAAAACTGTTCATCGAAAGATTGTCAATTTGGAACTTGACCAAGATCTCATCAATATAAATGATCACACCAAATTTCATTAAAATCAGTTGAGTATTGTAGTCTCTTTTGTGTTCACAAACAAATTTTGACGCGTTTTTCCTAAGTCAAAGGCAATAACTCAAAGATAGCTTGCCAGGCAAGGTAACATACGCCCACTACCAGCTGTCAGAAATGATAACAAAGTAACAAAGTCTGTAATGGTTTAATATGTGAAACCAATCATCCTACTTATACTAATTTCAAGCTTAACAGAGATCTCATACCAAGTTTCATCAAGATCGTATGAAAAATGTAGTCTCTATCAGGCCTACAAGTCAAATTAGACGCATTGAATTAATTCAAGTGCAATAACTCTAAAACCGTTCACCCGATTGTTACCAATTCAACAATATATACATGCATACTAAGTTTCATCAAGATCGGATAAAAACTGCAGCCTTTATCAAGCATACAAGCCAAATTTACACGTTTTTACTAAGTCAAGGGCAATAACTCTGAAACCATTCATCCGATTATTACCAATTTCGAATTTGGCCGGGATCTCATCAATATATACATGCATACTAAGTTTCATCAAGATCAGATAAAAATTGCAGCCTTTATCAAGCACACAAGCCAAATTTAACGTGTTTCACTAAGTAAAGGGCAATAACTCTGAAACCTTTCATCTGATTATTACCAATTTCAAACTTGACCGAGATCTCATCAATATATACATGCATACTAAGTTTCATCAAGATCAGATAAAAATTGCAGCCTTTATCAAGCATACAAGCCAAATTTAACGTGTTTCACTAAGTAAAGGGCAATAACTCTGAAACCTTTCATCTGATTATTACCAATTTCAAACTTGACAGAGATCTCATCAATATATACATGCATACTAAGTTTCATCAAGATCAGATAAAAATTGCAGCCTTTATCGTGCATACTAGCCAAATTTAATGCGTTTTTACTAAGTCAAGGGCAATAACTCTGAAACTGTTCATCAGATCATTACCAATTTCAAATTTGACCGAGATCTCATCAATATATACAAGCATACTAAGTTTGATCAAGATCAGATAAAATTTGCATCCTCTATCGTGCAAACAAGCCAAATTTAATGCGTTTTTACTAAGTCAAGGGCAATAACTCTGAAACCGTTCATCCGAATATTACCAATTTCGAACTTGACCGAGATCTGATCAATATAAACATGCAAACCAAGTTTCATCAAGATAAGATGGATGGACGGACGGAAGGGGGCGACGGCAATATACGTCCTGATTTCCACGTGGGCTTATAAAAACATATTAAATTAACTTTATGCCAAATTTGGTGCTTTATCACAAAATGCAAAATAACTTCATATTTGGGGTTTATGCCGCTTGACTAATATAACTACGTGTGAGGTGTTCTTCACATGGACAAAGACAAAATCATGTGAAAGAATGTTATTTTACCAATGTACTATGTAATAAATACTAATAGAGGTCTTTGCTGAAAACAATCAAATTTGTTACCTATTTTTCGTCTGTGTTTCTTTCATTGTTGCTTTATACACAAGAACACTTCAATATCTGTTATCTTATCTTCCAAATTCACTAGGCATTCATATCAATATTACCAAATTTATCTGTTCACTATCTATTCACTTAATCAGCATTATAACTTTTATGATAATGGTATGCAATATAATTTACAGTATAGTATATTATTCATAGGCACATAAATATGGGACACACTTCGCGGAACGATAAGACATATAACAATGATAGCTTGATAATTTTGATAAAACATGACACAAAAATACAAAATAAATGAAATGACCTTGATTTTGAAGCGAGATCATTAGTGGTGAATAAATAGCAGAATTTAAACCAGCGATCTTGTTTTAATGTTGGATTTTGAGGAGTGTCGGGGCCGCTTATAAGTGTCGTAATTCACAGAGAGTCGGAATACTGAGAGGTTTTCAACTAACATAAGAGGGAAATCAATCGAGACCAGAAAAAGATGTCGGACTACACAGAATGTTGGAATACTCAGATGTTGGATAACACAGAGTACACTGTAGTGTAAATGCTTTAATGTAGATTTGACAGAACATTATGTTTAATTGTGTTCAAGCCTAGCAGGAATAGAATGTATATTTCATTCATTAGTCATGTTAGTGAATGTTTTAGTTTTCCAGCTGAGATTTTGGTAGGTGCATTTTAATTTTTTTGGCTGAAAAAAAAGGGAGGGAGCGTCTTTTAGGGCAGGGGTATAGTAGCATGAATACGGTACACCTTTAAAGAGTAAATTAATAGGTATGAAAACGTAGTAAATATATTGTTGATGTGTTGGATTAAATTGATGGCAATGTCGGGAATCAGAATTTTGAACTGAAAATCTCCCTCTGTAAAATCATAGTTTCAAATAATTTTGTTTTCAATGGTTGGCATTTTCATCAACCCAAAGACAATCTAAGACTCTCAGCAATATTTGGAGATTAATATTTCAATTCATACAAAAATGATAAAGCCAGAATGTGATTTAGAACTTGATGTGGCCATTGATTGAGTAGTTGCTCTCGTCTGCGGCAGGCTTTAGTACTAGTAGGCTACTCTACATTTACAAAACTTGTTATTTTTAGCAAAGTAATTATAAATACGACTGCCAATACTGTTTTGAAGTTAAAACTAAGCTCCTGGGGAGGTCCATAAAAATATGTTTCATTTAAATATTAGAATCTACTCACACGTGGCAGCGAATTTCTCTTTCATTTTCATCTCTGAGACGATTCCAATTTACCGGGTGAGCAATCCGTCTTTGAACAGCCGATTAAAGTAGATCCTCTCGGCGTATATAAATACGAACGGATAATAGGCCCAGAGCTGGTATTTAATATTATTTAATTGTAAAATATATTTTTCTAAAGGGATATCTTAACTTGTTGTACTAAAGTGTTTCATAGAGCCAAAATCTTTATCCAGCACCATTGTGTGCTTAAAAAGCAACTAGTCTTTTCACAGCCGAAGTCAGTCAAAGACCACCGAAGATATTATTTCATACAAATATCCTGTGTCCTTTCTAATTCTCTGTATTTGCCAAATACTGGTTATTGGATAGTTGGATACCAGGCCTTTACTAGCCATGAGGGCTTTCTCCTTCCAACATTATTGTATGTGTCTCATGTCCAGTTCTGTATTTGTTGACAATTCGCTGTAGAATTATATGTATAACAAAAAAATTACTAGAGCCGTGGGAACAGTTCTTAGACAGTGCGCATCCAATTGATACATCGGCTGTATAAGTATTGAGGGGGTCGTTGCCAGAGGTTTTCACAAAGTCAAACTTGTAAACAAGGACGACAAAATCATATTTCAACATTATACACGATAACAAAATACACCGTTCTAAAATCAACAAGTCAATCTACTAATTGCAAAATAGAGATATTCATACTTTTCAAACTTTATTTCACCACAATCAAAAAGTAAACTTTCAAAATTTCTTTTTCGAAAATGAATCTTGATTATTGACATAATTGACTATGTCTTCTTGACTTTGCATTCTTGAAAGATGCAAGTTCGACCACAACTGTATTCTTCAGAGTTGTAAGGTCAACTACTCGGTGGGTGTAAAATTCAGAAATCCCGAACTGTCCGAATTGGGTCAGAAAAGACAAAAAAATCGAACTAAATTTGCGCCAAAGATCGTGCACAAATTCGGAAATCAAAACATTTTTCATCAAAAAACGAATATTTTTAAAAGCTTTCATTTGGTCAAATCACAATTTCTTTTTGTTATTTTTCGTGCACATCGTGCTAGTTTATAATAATGCCGTCTATGAATTGATATTTTTGATTTTTAATAAACATAATCGCTATTATTCAATGGACACTTTTTTTTGTCGAAAGTATCTCCCTTGGCGCAAATTTAGTTCCGATTGTTTCGTCTTTTCTGACCCAATTCGGACATTTCGGGAATTCGGAATTTTACACCCACCGGGTTTAAAGGGATTGTTAACTTCACAATCCCTTTAAACCCAGCGGGTGTTAAACAATGTTAAGAAGTTTTTCTGATTGCTCTACATATCAGGGACAATTATAGCATTGCTCACAGTTGCAATGTCAGACGTCTGTGGTTATTTTTTTGAGAATTGTCCCAAGGCGCGAAGTATTGGCATGATTTTCAACGAATGAGTTTTCATTCAGCTGGTCAATAAAATGACATTTTCAAGATTTCAGTTTTATATTTCTTAACCTAATTTACTCTATCCTAGAACTACTCCTATGGCGTCTTTTAACATCTGAAAGAAATCTGGTATTGTAATAACAGAAAAATCCAAAGCTCTATATCTAGGAATAGTATTTATTACAGTATAATAAAACATAACATTGATTATGTAGAATATATATAAACAAATAGAAAATGTACGCAATGAACAAAAATCAGATATCAGATCAATGCTGGGCAATAAAATTAATAAGCTCTAAGAATTTAAAAAAACTAGTGTTACAAAAAACAAAAGTAGAAGAGATCTACATCCAAGTATAAAGGAAATTATAAAGTGTGTTGTTAATTAATAAACCAAAACATTTGTGCAATTTCACTCATCTCCACAGAGTATAATTCAGAGGAAGAGCGTTAAAGGCACTTTATACTGGACTACTAAAAAAAATAGATAACTTAAGCATTTTATTTCTACTGTATGCCCAATTGCATTAAATTATTTTACAGATATGAATAGAACAAGAATATATATATGTATATCTATATTGATATGAAGTAATTGCTATTTATAAAGTGGAATAATATGTTAATATATCAACATAAGAGAGGTATGTAGATAGTATCACGTAAAAAAAAACAAAAACTTCAACCAGACCCTAAGATATAAAAACTATCAATTATAAAATAACATTAGTTACATGTATTAAAGGCATACCATCTTTAAGGATGACCAAATAATTGAAATTGTTAAATCTGGCCAAAAAGTGGCTTTGTTCATCAGTGGACTTACCTCCTGTCATAATTAAACAGAATCTCTTTATAATCCAATAAATCCATGAAACTATGTAATAATCCATTAAATTAAGCAATTTTGAAACATACATAAAATCGTGTTTCTATAATAATTTTGATTAATGGATAAAACATCGTCTTGTATAGATATTTTATTCTTTAGTCGTGGCACTTGACTAGTCCAACTGATTGTTGATCAAATTTGACACTTTACATTTTATGTCCATGTCCAAGAGGTAGTATCCTTTAAAATACTAAATCACTATGGTTGATTGGCAAGATTTCAAACTGATCTTTTTCACAAATTCTGTACCGTAGGCCTATAGGCCCAATCTAAGCATTGTCACATGGTTTTGAACATCATATGCAATTTTCCTTTTAATCAAAGTTAATTTCAGCCTACTTCAACCCTGTGTTTCAAGCTATTCAACATTTCAGAAAATTATATTGAGTGGTAAAATAAAAAACATCAACAAAGAAAAATAAAACAACCCAGCTTGAAGCTACACAAGGTTATGTCCCTTTATCAAAACAACATTAAAACACCCAGCATATTAAAAAAGTTAAATACAAAGATTAAAAATTAATGAAGTTTGGCAATGGATGAAACTGACCAACATAATCCTGCAATATCTAACAAACAGTCCAAATATTTTGAAGACTTAGAAATAGTAACATCAATTGGAGATCAGAGAGTATATTGTCTAACTATGATAACTACCCTAATTTATCATCATTACTACAATACATAGTTCTTCTACTTCTAAAATTATTAACTTTATTAACTACAGAGTACATCATCATTATAGATAAAACAGTCAGTCTAACGCCAAGATATATCATAAACTCCAAGTAGGTCAATCAAAGAAGTTTCATTAATTTGCATGTTTTCCTCTAAAGTTTCTTATTGATAATGATAAATTGATTTATGATTACAGATTTTCAAAAATGACAACATTATTTCAGGAATTAAAACATCATCAAGTAGCAGTTTAAGAAGTTAGACTTTAATTAAATTAATTTGTAACAAATGAAACAAATGAAGAAAAATAGAATTGTAGTTGGCAGATATATAATGAGGCACAGAGCTGATATCTATCATACCAAATGTTCTAATATTGGGTTCTAGTTTCATATTGAGTGGTTGTTGTAGTTGTTGTACCACCAGCAGTTGATGATGATGTTGTTGTAGTTACACCACCCTTCCATCCACGAAACATAAAGAAAGTATCTACCGCATACACAGCTGTGGCAGCAAAAGCAAAGAACTGAAGAAAAATAAGAATATCAATGATATTTTTAACATTTCAAAATCTTTCAATAGTAAGCTTATAATTTGGATAATGTATTTGACTTTAACTTTAAATAGACGATTATATTAGCCTCTTTATACTTGGAAAAAAGGCCAATTATTGGTTATCTTATGATTTAGTTGCTTCCTTGTTAATGAGTTGCATCTCAGTGCTTAACTCATAATTACCTCCCAACAACTACGTCATAATCATTTATGTTCAGTAAATAAGAGATAATACAATATATGAGTAAAAGGTAAAAGACAAGGACAATAACTCTATTTCTACAGTGCCAATATCATAGCAAACTACCCAAAACATTCTTGACCTAGTTATGAAGAATAATACAAATTTTAATCAACATAGAAATTTAGGAGCAAAAATAATGTGGAAATATTTTCAATTAATGTTTCGGTAATGTCTTTTAGCATTAATTCAAGATATACAAGGTATTACCTTCAGATTTTAACAAAACTTAATATTACAAGAATGACAAAGGAAAAATTGTATGACGATAGTATTTGTACTTCCTTTAGTGATTTCCTATGTAATATCTTAACTACAAATACACTCATACTTCGGAAAAGAAATAAAATTTGTTTCAATTGGTTCTAGTCATTTAATCATCATTCTGTTCTATATATAAAATACTATTTTAAATCTTTACACTTTTAATGTTAATGTATTCTAATGGACAAAAATATTCTCTTCAGTTCTAGTTCTCATTACCTTACTGTATTATAGCCACAATGTAATATGCAAGTACAGAAGACCTATTTAAAGGGGCATTCCGCTTTTTTTGTAGGTCATAATTTATTATTATTATTTATAGTTATCAGAAAACTACTGTATGTAGTTAACCCTTTCAACCCTAGCGGCCGGGTTACAGGCCAAACAGTAACACAATATATACCCGAGCAGCTGAAATATGTCTCTTACATATGGTAACGTTTTCAACTAATAATATCAAGTCAAACACTAAAACTAGGTCAAACTGCTAAATTAATAATCTCCATTTTCAATTAATCCTTTTAAAACAAATTCAGTTTGATTAAGTAGAAATATTAGTATAAGTAGTATAATTGCAACCTTTTAGATAAAATTTAAAAATTTTGCATACTGCCATTTTAACACGAAATGTAAGAGAATCTTAATTTGTGAACATATTTCATCAAGGACATGGACTGCACCATCATATTTGAACAATATGCCCAAATAAATGTTGAAACAGTTTCAAAAACTGCAACGTAGTGGATATTCTCAAAAACTAACAACCCAAAAGTGTGTTGGAGCAACTCCAATAAAAAGTGACATTTTACGTCCGACCCTGAAAGTGCAGATATCCCTTCCGTATATCATGTTCGAAGAGCAATTTATCTAAAATAAAATTTGAAGATTCTCTTCAATCTAACAGGTATCATGCCACTGTCATATATAAACACATTAATTATGGCAAGATTTGATTTTCAAGAATATATGCATATGTCATATATATCATCATTCAAAGTAAAAATTATTATTAGTTATGTATTGAAGCACATCTCAAAATATTCACTTACAGCTGTAGCAATAACAGATCCATGTCCTCCTATTCTAGCAGCAGCAACAATAGCAGCAATCAACCACATGATGGTGATAACAATGTAAAAGATGAATTCCTAGAAAATATCAACAACAACAAAATTGGAGCTCAAGTTCTGTTAATTTAGAAGTAAACATTTTAAACATTAGAATATCCAATATAAAAGAAGATAGCTTGCCAGGGAAAGAAATATATGCACAGTGGCAGCTTTGATTTTTAATAAAAATATTTGACAGTACAGTAACAATCACCAGTATGAAATATTCAACCTACAGTCATACACGTGCACTTCTTTTGAACTTTTTTGGGCCTTACTGAATAATATTACCAAGCTTTGTCAAAATCTGTCAATTTTGGCCCTCTAGAGTGTTAACAGACTAAAAATTGAATGCGTTTTTAAGAACAAGGACAAAAACTGATACTAAGAATTTTTTGATTTTTCTGAACTTCAATAGGGTTCATCCCTGGGTAATTACAAAAACTCACACCAAGTTTCGTCAAAATCTGTCAAGAATTGTGCCTTGTAGAGTGTTTATGAGCTAAAAGCTAAAATAACTCGTACTAAATATATTTCAATTCTTCTGATTTTTCATTGGGCTTATCCTTGGGTGATAACAAACACTCACACCAAGTTTCGTCAAAATTCATCCAGAATTGTGCTTTCTAAAGTGAACGCATTTTCAAGAAAAAGGGCAATAACTCATACTAAATATTTTTCGATTCTTTTGATTTTTAATAGGTTTCATCCTTGGGTGATAACATACACTCTTACCAAATTGCGTCAAAATCCGTCAAAATTGTCTTTCCTAAATTGTTTAAGAGTAATTGTGGATGGACAGACCAACAGACTGACATGGGTGAAGACAATATATGCCCCCATTTCATGTGGGCGTCTAAAAAGAGTTCCCATAAGAAATAGGAGTTCTTACATAGAAGGACTTCTAATGTAATTTAAGAAGTAAGTTTATTTATTATTACTATTCTAATATATGATCAAATTCTGGTATTCTAGTAGAAATGAATCATAAAAATTAATTGGGCCTTCATGGAAAAGAAATTTGCTTTCACTGCATTTTCGTTGCATAAGGAGAAAGCAAAATCTAGAAAGGAGTAAAAAACAGATTTAACTACTTACAATAAGCACCCAGGGACCAGGTAATTTTTCAATAATATGCATAAAATGAAAAATAAATAATATAATTGTAACAACAAATGCCAACGCTGCTACAAATTGTACCCAGCCTCCTCCACCACCTAACCACCACATACCAACAGATGCACATATCAAAACTATAAGACATAGTATCTGAAAAATATTGGAAATGTTACAATTTTTTTAATTTGCTTACTAACAAAACCCAAAATAACAATATTGTATGAAAGGCAGGGGTTATGATTTTTGCATGAAATGTCCTTTGGGGCTGCTCAAATGTTTGAGAAGTCAGTTGAAAAACCAATATATGTTTTCCATTAATAAGAGTATGGTAATGTATAGTCTAATTTAAACTAGACCAAACTTTCATTCAGTTTTTTATTAGCTTTTATTCTTAATTAAGTCACATTAGTTGTGGTCTAAAGACATGCCTCTTGAACATTGATCAGTTTGATGATACCGCCAGTCAATCAAATTTCATGTTTTGATAGAGTGTTCGTTGTTGTTTTTTTTATGAAAGTCTTGGGACATGTCAAATATAGCTGCATGAAAGTGTGGAAGATAGCTTGCTTTGCAAGGTAACATACGCCCACTGGCAGCTGTCAGAAATAATAAAATGCGTCAAATTAGAACTTGCCCGAGATCTTATCAATTCCAATGATCACACCAAGTTTCATCAGAATCGGTTGAAAACTGTAGCGTCAATCCTGCTCACGAACTATTTTTAACAAATTTCAACACGTTTTAACAAAGTCAAGGGCAATAACTTAAAAACTGTTCATCGAAAATGCGTCAAGTTAGAACTTGTCCGAGATCTTATCAATTCCAATGATCACACAAAGTTTCATCAGAATCGGTTGAAAACTGTAGCTTCAATCCTGCTCACAAACTATTTTTAACAAATTTTGACGTGTTTTTACATAGTCAAGGGCAATAACTCAAAAACTGTTCATCGAAAATGCGTCAAGTTAGAACTTGTCCGAGATCTTATCAATTCCAATGATCACACCAAGTTTCATCAGAATCGGTTGAAAACTGTAGCTTCAATCCTGCTCACGAATTATTTTTAACAAATTTCAAGGTGTTCATCGAAAATATGTCAAATTCGAACTTGATCGAGATCTTATCAATCTAAAGTATCACACCAAGTTTTATCAAAATCAGATAAATACTGTAGTCTCTATAGTGCTCACAAGAAATGTTGACGGACGGACCGACGGACAGGGGCGACGATAATATACGACCACATATTTATGTGGGCGTATAAAAATGCCAACATGACACTGACACCATTTCATGTGGGCGTATAAAAAGCAGGTAATGTCTGCACACTTATAAAGGTTATAACGGTTTTGTGTTTAAAATAGTTCAGCAAAACACCAAAAGTGACAAGGCACCTGTACTTTCATACAAACATCCTAATCTTGACCCTACATGGCAAAAGAAATGCTGTATATCAGTGAACAATTTTCTTAATAATTACTAATATGTAAAAATATATATAGTAAATAGCTTACCATTTCTACTATTTTAAGGATACCAGGTATAGATTTAACATAGAGAACATCTGGTCTAATACTACTAGCAACACCAGATGATGATGATTGCGTGACTGTTGTTTGTTCATATGTTGTTGACATTTTGAACTCTTTTGCTGCCTTCACTCTTTAGATCTCACCTAAAAGAATCAAACGATAAATCATAATGTATCACAATAATAAAACAATCTAACAAGTGGTTGCTCAGGAAGATACGCCCACGTTCCTGAAAAATTTCTAGTATATTGATCTGTGTAAATCCTATCAAAAATTATTGAAGATATTGTTGATTTAAACCAATACACAAAATCTCCTAAATTCTTACATACACTGTCACCTTTATTGCGTTCACAAGTCAAATTTAACATAATTTAAGAGTATCACTAAAATCAGATAAAAACAGTAATCTCTATAGTGTTCACGAACAAATATTTCCTACTTTAATGGCAATAATTCAAAAATGTTCATTGAAAAATCGAACATGGCCAAGATCTCATCAAGATCTAACAAGAAATTAATTTCATTAAAATCGATTGAAATCAAAAAATAATCACGAAATATGAACCTGACAAGAATCTTATCAATAGAAATGATCACACCAAATTTATTCAAATCAGAAAACTGAAGCCGTTATTGTATTCACAATCACAAACCAATTGTGGACTGATGGATGGACAGGGGTGACGACAATATTCGATCACATAATAAAGTGGCTTCACATAACAAAACTTCTGTCAAAATAAGCCATTTATTCCTCTAACGTTTTGTGTGCCTAAAAACACACTTCCTCAGGGAGTCCAAAACCAACAGAATTAAAACAGTAAATGACTGTTACAATAATGACTTCATAAAAATTATGAGGTCTGGGTTACTCTGCAAAGTGAAGTCATCAGTGAATGATGTAAAATGATGTAAAAAGATGAAATTTGATGTCATTAAAATGTAAAATATAAAGTTATTAAAATGAAAATGTTATGTAAGCACAGAATGGGGGTATGAGTTTCAATATCTATTGCTTTGAAAAGTTTGGTATTGTATCAGGATTGTATTCATTTAATCCTCTTGATCAAACTGTCTTGAAGGGACAGGTAAGCCATTTTATTCACCAATCTTACTTTGGTCTCAGAATTGAGAATTTTGTAGCTAAGCCAATCAGGTATAGTGTTCAAAGCTCACTGTAAAAATTTTAGCTTTCAAATCCAAGTGTGTCCGTCCAGAATTATCTGCAATTGAATGTTAAGATAGCTTGCCAGGCAAGGTAATATACACCCACTAGCAGCTTTGATTTTGAATAAAAATATTAAGCAGTACAGTAACAATCACCAGTATGAAATATTCAGCCTTCAGCCATACACTTCTTTTCAACTCTTTAGAGCGATACTGAATAATACTGAGTATGAGTTATTTCCCGTGTTCTTGAAAACGTGTTCAATTTTTAGCTCGTGAAAACTCTAGAAGGCAAATATTCAATCTTCAGCGAATAATAAAACCAAGTTTTGTCAAAATCCAGCAAGAATCATGCCTTTTACTGTTTAAGAGCTAAATTTTAAAGCGTTTTCAAGAACATGGGCAATAACTCATACTAAATATTTTTCAATTCTTCTGATTTTCAATAGGGTTCATCCTTAAGTGATTACGAACACTCACACCAAGTTTCATCAAAATCTCTCAATAATTGTGCCTTCTAAAATGATTACGTGCTAAAAATTGAACGCGTTTTCAAGAACAAGGGCAATAACTCATACTAAATATTCTTCAATTCTTCTTATTTTCAATAGGGTTCATCCTTGGGTGATTACGAACACTCACACCGAGTTTCGTCAAAGTCCATCAAGAATTATGCCTTCTAGAGTGTTTACGTTCTAAAAATTGAACGCGTTTTCAAGAACAAGGACAATAACTTATACTCAATATTTTTTGATTTTTCTAATTTTCAATAGGGTTTATCCTTGGTTGATAACAAACACTCATGCCAAGTTTCATCAAAATACATCAAGAATTGTGCCTTCATGAGTGTTTACGAGCTAAATATTGAACGCGTTTTCAAGAACAAGGGCAATAACTCATACTAAATATTTTTTGATTCTTCTGATTTTCAATAGGGTTCGTCCTTGGCTGATTACCAACACTCATGCCAAGTTTCGTTAAAATCTGTCAAGAATTGTCCCTTCTAGAGTGTTTACGAGCTAAAAATTGAACGCGTTTTCAAGAACAAGGGCAATAACTTATACATACTAAATATTTTTCGATTCTTCTGATTTTCAATAGGGTTCATCCTTGGGTGATTACGAACACTCATATGAAGTTTTGTCAAAATCCGTCAAGAATTGTGTCTTGTAGAGTGTTTACGAGCAATTGTGGACGGACGGCCCGACGGATATGGGTGACGACAATATACGCCCCCCATTTCATGTGGGCGTATAAAAAGCAAGACCAATCTCATTTTACCAATAATTCCACTCATTTAATACAAACTGTACTCATTATTATAGTATATATTATTAAAACAGACTTGCCACAGGTGGCTAGTTGTTATTCTTTATCAATAGCACATTATTATATATCCTCCAATATCCTTCAACTCAATATTGTTCACCCAATAGAAAGGAGAAATTCAATTGTGACAGAAAGACCACTAGATCAATCTATGTGCCATACGAAACTACGTATGGATCTTTAATGGAAATAACACACGCAAAAGTAGTTCACAACCATTTTGAATATCTTCCATGAATACTAAGTTGAATTTTGGAAAATTCTATAATTTCACAATTAAAGGCATTGAAATGGCTTAAAATTTGATTTATAAGTACTAGTAAGGTTCAGTAAGTCAAAGAAGTGATTCAAAATGGTAGTGAACAGCATAATTATTTCCACATCAGAACCATCCGCTCGAAGTGCTACACTGATTAAAATATCTTAGCAAACATGTACTAGCTGTTAAAAATTTCAAAAGGAGAAGGTAACTTGATTAGCTCAGATATTGCAGATGGGCTAGTCATTTTTGCGATCCTTTTAGTGAACCTCTTAGATGTATAATAAAGTTTATGGAATTTGACTTTTCAAAAGCATTTGGGTTGAAGGATGAACTTCAATGGAACATTGACCTTCTACAGTCTGTGGCTTAACTCTAGGAAAAAAAGGTTTTGCTAATACAATCAATAGAATCAGAAACTAAAAACTATGACTCACATAATACAAACAAACCATTTAAAACTCTCAGATGAAATACTATACATTAAAACAATTCAACAACAAATACACACCTGTGTTATTTTTAAAACGCCCTATATTTCAGATTTATTCACTAAGTCAATGCATGTAGTAAATATTTAAGTCCTAGAACAAATAACACTTTGATTTATATGAAATTAATCTAATATTGGTAAAAACCTTCCTTTTAACAGATTGATCATTTTATTGTGCAATTTGTTTCATTCAAGCTTGAATAATACACATACACATGTTAGTCATTTGAATAACAAGACCGCACCTATCATCTATGCATTACATTAGGTGAAACAGCCTATATACCACTAGCCTATAGTACAAATACTGTGAATGGTTTATTATATTGCCTACTACCATACTGTAAGTGTAACTTTATACTAAAACAAGAATCACATCACACCACCACAAATAGGTACCAGTTAAGATACAGTATTATATATATATATAACACATCACTCAGGTATAATCTACTTCACAAAATACACCTAATACTTCATCTTCTAGACTAATCTAGGCAAGGTTTGTTTAGTTATTGCAAAACTACCATTGAAAATTTTAAAAAAAGCCTTGTCTCTAGGGCTAAAAAATCTCTATGGCAAATCAATGAAATTGGAAAATAACAGTTTCTGTACAGAAAAAAATTATAAAGTAAGCTTATTTCAACAATCACCATAAAATGAAATGACTAACAAATCACTGTTACCAATGCCATAAAAAAAATTGGTATAGAAGTAAGGTCCAATTTACTATGAATGACTTTCTTTTACTGTTTGAATAGTAAACATACAATTGAATTATTACTTTATAAACCAACAATATTATTGTGTAAATTCAGAAATCATTATAATAAATCATACGACTGAAATAGCGGTTTTCAAAAAAAATATAAAATTGTAGTCTATTGAATACTTGTAAGTCAATTTTTGATACATTTTTGTCTCACATAACTGAGAGTCTATGACAGGGAAAATAGGTGTAACTCACAAAAAGCCCATTGAAAAATTTAATTTGAAACAAATATAGATAAGCATACCAAGTTTCATCAAAGTGGGTTAGTGGGTAAGACTATATCCTATATTCATTTTGGCAAAGAAAATGGCAAAATCTAAAAAAAAAAAAACTAGAACATTGCGGACAGGCACTGAGGAAGTGCGAAACGTTGCATTTTAAAGTCATAGTGGGAATTATTTCTGAAAAGAAAAGCTGTATTAAAAAGTCGATAAACCATTTAACATTCGGTAGTGAAAAAACACAAGGTGTTAACATAAAAAGTCGATTTTAGAATAGCTGTAAAACTGGAAGAAACCATCAGCACAACACAAATGAAGATAATTTTGGATAGATCTCTTTAAGCACAATAACTTTTGTTCTGGTCAATAGGCCAACAAAGGTCAAATACAAGGGATATGAGCATTAAAAGTTTTGAAAATTTCGGACGGCTGTAAATAAAGCGTAAGTAACGTCGGCCATTAATGATCAAATAATGAATGGACATCCTAGATCAATGACCTTTGACCTTGCAAATTTTGGCTAGGGCAATTCATTGAAATTTGTCAATAGTGAACTTGCCAAAATATCAGTGATATTCATATATATATATGATGTACGCATTTCATCTGTTGCATCAAAATCTGATCAAAACTGTAGTCTTAATCTTATTCATTATCCAACAGTGGCTGAGGGCAACATATGTTAACAATTAAGGACTGACCTGAACATTTTTTCAATTTATCGATGTATAAACAGAAAAAACCTGTGTACACTGTATAAATCCGCGTAGTGGTTTATATATAAGTGTACACAGGTTTTTTCTGTGTTTATACATCAATAAACTGAAAAAATGTTCAGGTCATTCCTTATAATTAAATCAACTTGAATAAGTGTCTAAATATTTATGTAATATAACAAAAACTTAAGGCACTAAATTTGCGCATAATACATAACATTTTAACATAACATTAATGAACTGATGCTAACAATAAAGACTTCCTAGAGAACAGCCAATCAGCAATAAGTAGGTCACCTATTTATAGACTACTGTCTACTACATGAAAGTTGACGGAGCGGCCAAATTTGAAGTTTAATTATTGAAAGACGAATTCTAAATCAGTTTAGAATTCATGATATTGTTGGAATTTATGGTGTGCACATTTGGGGGAATTTAGAAAATACCTTTATCATTCAGTGATGTCGATTTCGACTCTGTTGACGTTCGAAGAAACGACATTGACGCCGTGTAGTGGCCACGTCAATCAAACTCAATGATAAAAGTAGTCCGTTTAGGGGCGAAGCTTATATTTTCATTTTGTTTACAGATATATACCGAATGCACGTGACCGCTGTTATCCTTTTAAATTGTGTGATACCGTGTAAACGGAATCGTAATTTAATTATTATAGTTTAAACTAAATAATAATCCTAGTCCAGCATGTTTTAAATTTGAGAGTACAAAGCTTCCTAATGGAAGCATGAGGAATGGGGGTCTTTGAGTTTGTGAAAAATGCTGGATTATATTTAACCATATGTTGTGATGAATGGTATCTACTATGGCTGGGTATCATTTAATAAATTGAGATTGATTATCGATGGCAGGTTAACGATCAATAATCGCTTAATATTCGATATAACTGAATTGAGAAATCCCGTAAATACTTAATTAACAACATGCAAAAATTTCATGGGTAATTTTTGTGTCATAAAAGTATATTCTTGCTATAATCAGTTATTATAGTTTATTGTGGGTACGCTATGTAGAAGAGACTACTACCGTACTTGTTATCACATACAGTGGGAAAAATGTTACTTTGACATATAATCGAATATGAAATTTGATAATCAATAATCAAAATTATAAATTTCTAGCTACGGTAATCGATTATTTCATTCCTTTTACCCAGCTCTAGTATCTACCATTTTGAATCAACTTAATTTGGATCAATAAAAAACTTTGTGAAATGGTTTGTATACATACTCATTTTATTTTATTACACATTATATGGCCTTTTGAAAGAATGCAAAAAATCAAACTATTACAAAGCTAAAGACTTAAACCAAAATAGGTTAACTAGATTTAATCAGATTGTATTCAATAATACAGTGAACCATGACCACGAAAAACAAAATATCACTGTAAGCAAATATATTTTATCATAATTTTATTATCCACAATCAATACCGTACCTTCTTGTAGTTGACAACTTCACTCAAATCAATTTTAATCATAATTAACTTATTATTGTGGCACATCAAAAAATTTCATATTATGTAAACTGCAAAGTTTCCTCCTTTCTGTAAATGATTATAATATTAGTCACAACGATAACGTCTAATGTCTAATTTCAGTATTAGGCAGGTTAACCTATTTAATCGCTTCAGTTCAATACAGTAACAGTGTAAGGTCAACAATACCCAAAATACTAGCCTACCTGTATAAATGATTGTTTAACTATATCAGCCTTAAAAAAGCCTAAATGGAAAGTGTAAACTACCTCACAGAAATTCATTGATAAGGCTAAAAAAATGCTTTCACCGATTTGATTTTCACATCATACGGTTAGCTACTTGAGTCTACATAAATCCTTTCTTGTATTTTTCTTGTAGCCGTTTTGTATTCATTTATCGTTTGGGCAAAGCAAAAAAATGTTGCCTTGACATGTATGTGCTTTGATGTATTATGGTAAGGTATATTCAGACAATTGTAAAATGTGAGGGAATCCTCTGGTGTCAAATGTAAGAAGTTTGCACAGACCAGTCATCATTATTGAACAATGTTTGAGATTGCAAAGGGCATCATGAGCTGACTTAATAATCATAAGGATTTTGGAGATTTGCCATACAGTGGTGTAACCTATTTTCGTGGATATAAGGATTCAACACCGAATTTCGTCAAAGTTTAAAAAACGAAAAAAAAATTTTATGTCTAGGATGTTTCCTCAAATATTCTACAAAATAATTAAATTTGGTTTGTTTCGATTTTCTTTATGAATCTCTCACTTTAACCCATATTTCATGAGCAACCAACTCGGCAATGGCGGCAGAATGCGTCACCTATTTTCGTGTACAATGTTTGATCTATAAATAAGTCGAGAAAAACACGTTGTATGGATACCGGGTGGTATAATTAACTTCTCTTAGTATTTATCTTTAATATCAATTCATTATAACTAGTGACAATTCCTTCAAAGAACCATGATTTTAAAATAAAATAGTGACTGACAAAATAACTTCGTAGCGTGATTTATTGCTAAAAGTCACTGAAACAACATAAGAATACGGTCCACTTTGTGTTCCATAGAAATTTTCTGCTGACACGGAATCCGCTAGTTGATCATGTGACTTCATTCGTTGGACTACATTCTAGCAGACGATACTTGGAATTCCGATTACCGCTTGGGATTATAAGGAAATTCGGACGATAAAAAATGGTGACGTTTGGTAATAACTGAAATCCGCCATTTTGTATTTGTCAAAGTATACATTAATACATTTTACCTTGCTTGAAACTACTGGATTTATTCTACTAGCTGACATTGTAGACATAATCCATGTTTATCAAAACAAACTAATGCGGAGGTCGCACAAGGTCGCACATGTAAATTATTAAACATTTCCGGAAATCCACGAATAATAGGTTTCCACGAAATTAGGTTACTTGACTGTATATAATAGTCTAAAAGAAAAGGCCTGAATGCAAACATTGTCTTATTTGGAAGGCCTTGTTAAGAGCCGTCCTTTTCCTTTAGTTTCTTTTTAGTCTTTGATTTTAATATATATAACTTAAACAGAATAGCAAGAAGCTTGCAAAGTGCTTTTAATTTCAATTTGGGAAGATAAATTTCACTTGATGTGAAATTAATCATCCGTTGCAGGCGTGGGCCTTAAACTTTTTAAAATTAATTACTATTACAAATGACTTAGTATGACTTGTGCCAGTTGTGTTGTTGCACTATGTTTACTTGGTCTTTAAGCTTCTTTCCTTGTCTTCCCATTTGGTTATAGGTTGTAACGAGTGGGCTTGGTTGTCAACTGTTACCCTATTATGGTGATGCTGGACTAACCCGTTTAATGCATTCCTTTGCTAAGCATTTGATTTGACTAGAGACGAAGAGTAAGAGAGAGCGAGTGTGTCATAGTAATTGTGGATGCTTAACTTCACGTTCCTGGAAGATCCAAGGCGTGCACTACCATTTTCATTGAGACATAAACGACAAAAGTTCTTACTATTAAAATATTTGTTGCTAAGGAAAAAAAATAACTTAGATTATAGTGGAAACCCCGAAATTCTTGTTTACTGACCTGCTTTCGCCGACCCTGAATACTTTCCACCGGAAGATTGAACAGAACGACACCTACGATCAAATGGAAGAGAACATAATTGGCGTTAGGATAGCTCCAAACTAAATCAGACAACAAATAAATTTACAAATTAATCCCAGAGCCGTATATCTCTATATACGGCTCTGATTAATCCCAGAACCATTCGACACACCCTGCAATCGATAAATTGTGCCCCTTTTGTCGCCACTGTCATGGTTGGTGTCAGTCTATTGAAGTTTTATTCATAGGGCTATACATTTTTAAAGAAGTTTTATTCGCTAAAATAAAAAGCTATATCCCGACCCCGTAAGAAACAATATGGCCTAACCAAAAATTCTGATGTCTGTGTCAGTGCGTCCGAGAATCGGCTCCCACCGTTTAAGTTTAATCGAACATATCATCATACATGTATAAAGCCTTGACGATGATGGAATTCTCTTTTGATTTTAGATTAAAACTCGTAGACTTTCCAAACTTTAATACTGTGCTGTGATGATAATAATGGTAAATAATAATATATGAGTTAATATTGTTCAGGTACGTCAATGGTTGCTGGTGATCTATGAGTTGTTGTACACATGCGTTCAGCTCTTAATTCCCAAAAGGCTAAAAATCCATCAGCACCTATAGCTATTGTTGAGAAGAAACCAAATGCCTGTAAGAGAAAATAACATAGACTATCTTTAAAATGCCATATCTTGTTGGGGCACTGGTCGAAGGAGGAGACAATTGACAATTACAAGGAAATAAACATTAGTTATTATTCCCTGACTCTGAATAATGCAATAATCGTTCAAACTATTTGGGCAACATGAAATAGGCCTAGCCTACTATTATCTCTTGACCTCTCTTGGATTTACCTCCAAAGTGCAATATATCGATATCTTATCGATGTATATCACGATTATCGATTATAATTCATATATTTACGAACTATAGTGGTCAATTGTATGAATGAAATGATTTGATGCCGACCCCCCCCCCCCCCCCCTCTCAATTCAGATACGATAAGGAACTGATTCAGAACGAATTCACGAACTATTTGGTCGTGCGAATGATTGACCAAAATATATACAAATTATAGTGAAATGAAACATACCGCTCCAGCTTTGTTGCCACCTTGGCTACAACCATTTGAAGCTAAAACACACGAAGCTATGAAGAAGAATAAAGTATACACGCCACACCATACACAGTCCTGTTAAGTAAACATAATTATCGAATATACAAATTTACAGTTATTATAAATCTTTCATATAAATTCTAAGCATCTCAGAAAACAAAATATGTCCTTAATTTGTAATGATGTGTAATTTTCAAAGTTTAGTTATGTTGTCAGAGATAGTTGATATATAAATTAATATAATATTAGATATAGGCCTACCAGCTAGTAATGCTAGTGGCAGAAGAGCGTATTTTTTACCTGTAAAGTCGCTTTAAATCGCCATGATAGTGAAATTTTCATGAAGGGGCACAAGTGGCGAATATTTTAGAGCGGAATTTTGCCGTCGATCACGCAATTCTGAAGGTCACATGATATCAACATCAAGACTGATTAATTTAATGCTGGGGGCAGCCGAGCTTATCTTATCGCCCAGTCTGCTCGTGCGTCCTCTCACGTCGACGACGATTTTTAACGCCCGTACGAATCGACGGTCTCACAAATGTTAGATAGATTATTCATGTTACCGATTAAATTCGCTAGTCTGTCCGTGTACAGCGTATTGTGTCGGGCGATAGATATTTCTTTAAGCAATCGGACTTAACGTTCAGAATGGCTGCCTCTGCTAATATAATGTGTACCAAACACGTGAGCCATAACTATACGCTCTTCTGCCACTATATATAGCATAATGACGGCACACACTGAATCAGTAAAAAAAAAGGTACTTACAGCAAGTTTCCAAGGGACGAATTTGAAGACAAATTTGTTGTGTAGATCCACTATGTACATTATATAGATGATAAGTGTTGATATAAAAGCTGATATAGATACAAATTCGAAATAGTTATAACCAGATGCATACTTATAATCACAATAATAATTTCGAGACGCTGCAACACAACTGAAAGCTATTAGGGTTAAAAACTGAAAAAAGAAAATGATTAAATCGGTGAATTATCTTCAATATCAAGAGGGGGTGTTAGGCCATAATGTTAGAAGCTCTGATACTAGAGAAACTGTTAGAAACTATAGGCCTAAGTGTTGCAATCCTAAATGACGATAATGGCGATGCCACTCCGGGACTAGTTTTGTCAACTCGTCATCATTTTCGGAGGTTACATAGCATAGCTACTGTTGTTTATGTGCTTTATAACACACCACTTCACTTGCACTTTTGAATTATTTGTATATTTTGTAAATGTCTCCAGAAGAAATTTCAAATTGATGCAGTCTAATTAAATTAGACTCATAGAGTTATAAATGTTAGACATGAAAATTTAGCAATATTCACTGGTCTGAAAGAACCATGTAAGCGGATTCCTGCCAATTCCATCCAAAAATCTGCACCCACCACCATTTCTGTGGACTGTGCAAAAAATGTCCGTGTAGGGGCTTCGTCTTTCACTGGCCAGTCTGCCATATTGGATATCCGTCACTGGCCATATTTTAGAAATTGTAGGCCTACTAATGTAGGCATTTCTCCTGATTGTACACCTAAATATGTAAGATTGGCATCTCGGGACCTCACTATGGCACCAAAAATTTTCATTCATAATGCCATAGCAGACCATCGGAAAAAATTTACCATGACATGAAAATACCATTATGTTGGAATTTTAGCGATATTCATAGGTCCTGTCAATTCCATCCAAAAATCTTCCCCACCCCCCTTACTGTGAACTATGCATGTATTGACCATGTAGGGATGTATATATTGGCCATGTAGCGGTTTCGTCTTTGGCCAAACAAATTTTAAAAACTTAGTAATGATTCTATAGAATTCATTACTTTTAGACGTTTTATTTGAATAACAAATGAATTACAAATTTTTCATTTTTCGATTCAATTAAAACAATTACAATAAATCCAAAAAATTAATGTATCCATTGGCCACAAAAATTGGCCGGTCACTGAAATAATGACGTAGTCTTAATCATGGAGAAAAAGCCCTAACTCAACTTCTATTCGTATTTTATTACACTATAAATATGCGTCATTGTTAGTAAGTAAGTAGTGGTTACGTACAAATAATAAAACATTCGAAACGAAACTAATAAAATGCGAACGGAAGTTAGGTCTAATTTTAACTAGACCGGGGGCCGTGGTAATACATGTGAGGAAAGTTACGTATTCATAGAGAAATATTGTCCAATAAAAATTGGCCCTGGTATCTTTCTAGGAAATCTCAGCCAATCAAATTAACCCACTCGTTATGACGCTATGTTACCGAAAGTAAACAAAAAGGAAGCGGAGTCTCATTAAATTTTTGATTATTATGAACGATACAGAATTAAGTAAGATGTTCGATAAAGAATTTAAGCTGATAGAAAATCAAACCCTTGGAATATATACTTTGGAAAGTGGAAAGAATGTATTCTTATCTCTTCAAACGAGTGGTGGCAAATCGAATAGGCCTATAAGTATGTGTTATTTCCCGGCCTTTTTTCGGTTCCGCCGGTCTGACCGGTCAGATTTAAATGTCACCTATCTCATTTCCACGCCCTCAAAACGAAATGTAGAGGGCTTAGTTTAATACGGGTTAATAAGACCATGTCAAAACCGGGACAAGTCGGGATACGATGGTCATTGACTAGTATAACATTTTCAAACTTCGTAATAACAATGAATAGTGTAAGCTCTCAAACCACACAATAAAGATAGCTTGCCGGGCAAGGTAATATACGCCCACTGGCAGCTTTGATTTTGAATAAAAATATTTAGCAATACAGTAACAATCACCAGTATGAAATATTCAACTTTCAGTCATACACTTCTTTTGAACTCTTTATAGGGCGATACTGAATAATATTGAGTATGAGTTATTGCCCTTGTTCTTGAAAACGTGTTCAATTTTTAGCTCATGAAAACTTTAGAAGGCAAATATTCAATCTTCAGCGCGGGACTGAATAATAAAACCAAGTTTCATCAAAAATCCGTCAAGAATTGTGCCTTCTAGAGTGTTTATATGCTAAAAATTGAACGCGTTTTCAAGAACAATGGCAATAACTCATACTAAATATTTTTCGATTCTTCTGATTTTCAATAGGGTTCATCCTTGGGTGATTACGAACACTCATGCCAAGTTTCGTTAAAATCCATCAAGAATTGTCCCTTCTAGAGTGTTTACGAGCTAAAAATTGAACGCGTTTTCAAGAACAAGGGCAATAACCTGTACTGCATATTTTTCGATTCTCCTGATTTTCAATAGGGTTCATCCTTGGGTAATTACAAACACTCATACCAAGTTCTGTCAAAATCCTTCAATAATTGTGTCTTGTAGAGTGTTTACAAGCAATTGTGGACGAACGGGCGGACGGACCGACGGTCCGACGGACGGACGGACTTGGGTGACGGCAATATATGCCTCCCCCCCCCCCCCATTTCATGTGGGCGTATAAAAATGAATAGTATAACCTCCTCGATCCTCGCAATAACAAAAACCAATGATACTTTTTCAAACCTCCAATAACATTGACTAGTCTAACATTTTTAAACCTCGTAATAACAATGAATAGTGTAAGTTCTCAAACCACACAATAAAAATGAATAGTGTAACCTCGATCCTCACAACAACAATAACCTCCTCGATTGTAACATCTTCGATCCTCGCGATAACAATAACCAATGTAACCTTTTCAAACCTCACAATTACGATGATAAGTAGAACATTTTCAAACTTCGTTATAACAATGAATGGTGTAACCTCCTCGATCCTCGCGATAACAATTACTTGTGTAACATTTTCAAACCTCACAATAACCTTATAAACAACAAGGGGTAACCCTCTGAAACCTTCAATGTAACAGTTTAACTTTTTATCATGCATTATTTCCAATACTATAGTCCATAGACGAAAATTCGTCATGGCGAACTCATTACGCGAAGTTCCATACGAGCAATCTCAACTTACAATTTCTCCAACCCGTAGCATACCAGGTATGCTCTTCATGTAACTGAAGTCTAATTTTATTCCAAAAATTTCAATAGTTTCACTACCAGGGGTAGGGGTGTCGACTTTAACTGGATCTGGACTGTCATCTGTAGGGTTTGACATCTGGAAGAAAGAGAAACCAATGCCATGTTTGGGAGTAAATCAGTTTGGATTTGGCCTCTTAGAAAGGGGGCTGCCGTGTATGTCGAATGTTGGGTGCTACATAGATAGGCCTGGTGTCTTATACTTTTACTGTCCATATGCTATACATTTTCTTCGAGTATACCCATGCCTACCAGTCCACGAATTTTTTGGTTAATATTATTAATAATTTTAGAGACCCTATTTCTGTGAAATCGAAAGAAAATATTGAAAGCTATAATTTACCTTGACACGCCTCCTTTTTATTATATTTGTCAGATCTAAATGTTATCACATGATCCCTGGATGTTTGGTACACGACATATAGTGAATAGTCCTGGTCCTCCAGTCTAGGGTATCAATTGATAACATAATCTTCATTTCTATTTAAAGGTCGTGAAGTTTTCGATGTTTATCATTTAGAGTGTTTTAAACATGGTGATGCTTGTTTCCACTTCAATTTGGGCAAAAAATGAATGTGGTAAACATGTTCATAATACATTGGTGCCAATCGTGCTAATGTAGAAAGTCTCTCAAATTAATAACGTGAAATTTGAGGATAAGAAAATGAACTCTTGTCTATGTCTCAAGTCTGACTGACTGTTAAATTTTAATGTCATAGCACCAGCTCTGCAAATTATCCGTTAGAGTGCATGCAATATAGATTCTGAAACAACCATAGGGGCCACTCAATAACTATTTCAAATAAAACTTTACAGTAACAGATTAACTAAAGATTTAGACTAAAACTGCTAATAAAAAGTAACTTGATTTTAAAACCTCGGAATTAAATGTTAATAGCCTACTTTAAATTTATTCACATTTATCAAAACTGAATTTATTGCATATTTGCGTTCGTTGGTCCTTTAAACAAAGTCCGAAAAATGAAAAATGCCGAATAAACATCTATAAAATCATTTGTTTTAACTTAAAAACATTCTGTTTCCGAAATTGACATTTTCTGTAAACAAATTATCATTAAGACATTTTTTTGTGATTTGGGACATGAAGCTCACTGCTGTGATCATTTTAGTGATAGTTTTAAAGAAGGTTTTGATCTCAGTAAGTGGTGAAAATTATACTAGAGACATGCTGATTCATACTAAATAAACGTCTTAACAATGCTTACAAACGAAGTGACTATTGTTTTCTTTCACAGTGATGACACGCGTTTAATTCGTAAGTGGTTCTTAATCCATAATTTATCTAGCACTTTCTATCTAATCACCTTTACTTTCAGAAACAATAATAGGTTTTGCGTTAAATCTGTAATACATATCAGAGACAATCTAATGACCCAATCAAATTGACGATGGAATAACGGTAGTGGACAGGGGGGGTATCTGGGACCATTATCATTCAATCGTTGTATGAATGTCATTCAGATAGAAAGTTGCGTTACAGTTATTAAAGAATGCTCGCTGATCATGTTAATCTTTTTGATTAAGTATGATATAATGCTCCGATTTTGATGAATCTTATGTACGGTTGAAGGATCGGCAGTTTCAACTATTTGATCCGATAATCTTGGAACCTAAATTCTACCAAAACATAATCATTGCTTCTGTGCTGATAGATCGAATATTATGTGGACCGACCGTAATTTATTTATTACAGAGTACGTTTTGATGGAAATGGATTAGATTTCACTAATTATTTAATAACGTTGCTTATTAGTTGATCTTTGAACTGTGATAAAGACCAGTTAGGTTGGATATCTTATTCAGTTTGTAACAGTCGCTATATGTCGCTAAATAGAAGATATAGTTTCACAGCTGATAAATATTCAAAACAGTGTAAAAAGATAAGTACTGATATGATGGTAATAGGATGATACAGTGCAGTTTTATATAACAGTCAATTCCTAATTTTGATGCCTTTTAAATACCAACAAGATCTTTACTCCAAAATGACAACAGAAAAAGGTATAGAGAAATCGGGATATCTGGAAGTGAAGCAACCATCTTCAACGAAAGGCAGAAAGCTGAAAGTAAGTCTTTTTGACGATTGTCAATCATTTACATTACAATTTTATATTTCTGACATCTATAACTTTTAGAATTAGTTATAATAGAAATATTATTGAAAGTAGGCCTCTACGTCATGTAGTTTGTAAGTAAGAACGTTTAGATTTAAAAACGTAAGACTGCGAAACAAATTGCCAAACCTCATCCACCTATTGTTTTTTTTCTTCACATGGCTTTTTCTTCTATTTATTGTGAAATACAGAAAATTTCTTTAATATAGACCTAATGTAATTTCACTTTCTATGAATATCAGTTTAAAAAAGTGGGGATTCTCTAAGAATTTCTTAGATGGTCTATATAATATTTTCCTTCTATTTCAAATTTCCACATAAGTAAACCTATACTACACAAGAATACGGTATTTCATTCCCAACCTAAATTCACAACCTGATTGACATTTTCTAGACAATTTTAGCCAAGTCAAACATCACAAGCGTGTTACTTCCCTTTAAATCATCCATACAGGACTGTAATTATAGAAATTTTATTAAATTCATTAACATACGTTAACAATTAACAGGTCTTTGATCTCACCGATATATATAATTAAAAGTTTACAATGTGATATAACTGTGTATATATGTGGAATAATTTATTGTAAATGTGCTTTACTTTAACCTATTACGACAGACGGCGTTAATTGCAAATGTATCAAAGTAAATCACCCTCACATTGTTGGAAACTACAATAACATTTTTATAAAACCTCAATTAATTACCGAATGACCCTTTATTTCATATAGCTTCATTATTTCATGCAAATATTATTTAACAGAGGAGGATTTTCGATCTAATATGAGGACCTTTATTCAATTTCTCGGAGGAAAGCGTATTTATCTAAAATGTAACTATCAAACCTTATATTTGTATGGAACAGAAGGCATTCGAAGACAAATGACAAGCAATTGAACATTTTGTTTTGAATATTTGAGATATGTCAGAAAAAATCAATCCCAAGCTTACTTTGGTTTGACAGAATGTAGGCCTATCTTCTTTTTAATGTCAATTTATAGCAAATTAAACAGTAATTAACGAATATGCAAAATTACTTCAATGAATTTCAATGGATCCTAAATGTAAAGTATATTTTGTTATATTCAGCTCAGCTCTGGTTTTCTTACTATAAATCACGATGTCATCATTACATATAAACAATGTCTTGTTGAATTGTTATCAATACTATCTATATTGCCTATATCTTTATCAATTCAGTACACTAACCCCATCAGCTCTGAGCTCTGTGATGAGGCCCTAAACATGAAAACGATTAAGCGATACACTTATGTCTTATTTCATCTATGATGACTAACTGTCAAGGCTCCGTGTACTGTGAAATGTTGAGGTCCGATAATGGAAGCCGAGAAAAAGTATAGGCACACTGGCGTCCCCCTTATTCCTCATTGCACACTTAACGAGTTATCATTAGCGTATTGAAGTGAAAATGAACTACATTTATTTCGTCACTTCACAAGTGATTATTTATAAGCTAGGATCTTTTTGATAATTTTCGGACATCAATTAAAACACATTCGAAATGTCACAGATCCTGATGGAATAAAAAATGATGTGTGTAGCCTATTCATGTATATTATTTTTCAAGTTTTATTTATTTTAGTCATGGAAGAAAAAATGGGTCGTGGTTCATCAGATGAGTGATTTAGCCAATGGAAAATACAATGCTAAAATTGATATATACTCTGATGCAAATTCAGCTAAAAAATCACCCACTGATAAAATGACATTTGTATTAGAGAATATAACAGCAGTTCAATTATCCAAATCTAAAACTCATCCAAATGCTTTTGAAGTTGTTGAAACAGAACCTGTTTTAGTATTTAGTGCTGCTTCAGAACAAGAAACTGCTACCTGGATGTCAATTTATAGGCGAATCTTTCAACATGATGAGTTGGGAGAGTTCGGTGAGTTCATTTCGGAAACACCCTCCCCACGTATAAAAAGTAGGTTTAAAGTTAATCAACTTACTAACAAAATACTAACATGGACGGCTTAGAGGGGTTCAGTGTTCTACATCTACTAACTGCTTCATTCCACCCATCATTTCCCATTCTTAAAAACCTATGTATGCATCACGCTTGCTTCCTTACTACGAAGTTGGCAATTAGACCTTAGTAAAGGTATCATGGAAACAGTGTCCAGTGGTTTGAATAGGGCAACAAGACAGATACCTCGACAACTGGGAATGGTAGAAGAATAAGATAATAGCACTGAACTTACAAAATCATGAACTATATTCAGTATTCCTTAAGCTTTCCCATTAAAATAATGTACACGCCAAACCTCCGATCTTCACCAGGCAAAGTTACTGAGCAACACTTAAAAATCTGGATACTCGCGCGGCTGTATATCTGTTATCACTCACAGGGAGAAAATTTTCATTCAATAATAATTTGTTTCAAAAAGTCAAACCGATTTAATTATAATTTGTGCTTCTCTTTCAGATATATTTGGAGTGAATATCATATCTAATGCACATGCTAAAAGATTAAATCTGGAAGGAAGAGTTTTACTTAGTATTAGTTCAGCTACAGTAGGAGTTTTAACACCCGATTATAAACAAGTGGTGCAGTGGAAATTATCCACAATAAAACGATTTTATACTGAAGACGATTCAAGAGACCAAACTCAAAAACTATTCATTATAGAAACAGGCCCGTAAGTCGAAGATTTTTATTAAAAGTTATTATATTCAGCAATAGCATTTCAGTGTCATCTTGGGCTAAAAAAACTCAAGCCTTTGTGATGAGCGGCATGTATTAACTCGATATGGGATCAAACTGCCTTTGCGTTGAATTGAAGATGTAAATCTGTAAATCAGAGATAACTAGTTTAACTAAAAGAACACATATACCTTTCCTTTCAGAAGTTCGGCAAGTGGAGAGGGAACTTGTCGTTTTTCGACACCAGAATGGGATCTGATTTTGAGCACAATTAGAAAGAATATCAACTCTGCTATTTCTGAAAGACAACACCTTAAACTGGCAGAGCAAGTTAGAGAGAGGAGCAGTTCGACATCCACAACTACAAGCGAATACCACTTTACTAATCTATTAGCTAATTCTGATGTTCCATCGGGATCATGTTCAGATCGGAGTAATTCTGTCAATTCTTTAGGAAGCTCAGTTTTTACAAATGGTTCTAACCCAGACTGTAGTGCAACGCCACCTCTATCCCCAGTGTCGACTTCAGGTCGTAAACTAGAGGTGCCACCGATAACCTCCACACCAAATCTCTCAAGAAATATTCGTTCAGATTCTTTCAATGTTACTGGATCAACAATATCAGTAGTAGAAGATGGTTATAGTGTAATTAAACCAGGAGATGAACAGGGGATCAAACCACGATCTGGATCAGTATCATCTACAAACTCAACTTCATCCAACAGATCAGACCATTCTAGATCAATTACAAGAGATTCGGGTATACTTGAAACAAGGAATGAAAGTCTAGAGACAAAATCAGACAGTTTACCATTACGGACTGTTAGTAATTCGTTCGATAGTGGTTTCTCTAACGGTTCCTATGATGAAACTACTAAACGTAAAGGAAGTGATGTCGATAAAGCTATAGCTGAAGAGACACCTGACGTTAAACCTGACCCCTCTAATATATATCAAGAACTAGATTATGCAAAAGTGCTAAATGGACAAATGGAGAACAGCGTTCCTGAAAAACGAAGCCGTAGACACTCTACGGGTGATGTAGAGAAAGATTCTGATTATGCTGAATTAGATTGTAGGAAAGGCGAAGATGGTACGGGTATTTTCAGTTCAACTGGTTTAACAGTACCACTTGACATACCACCAGCACTCCCAGATCGACCAGCAAGTCTGAGATGGAGCCACAGTATGAGAGCCAAACCTAATTGGAAGAAACGTTTATCAGCATTACTAATTTCAGGTCAAAGTCCTGGCCATAGTCCAGAAAGATGTGAAAGTCCGGTGAGTCATCAGAAATCCCCAGTGGACTCTCCAGTTCAAGACAATAATATTGTGAGCAACCATGCAGTCACAGCTGTTACTGAACCAACTAATCAAAGTGGTTCTGAAGAAGAACATTTATATCAATCTATACCAGAAGTATTGGCATCATCACAGAAAAAATTTGCCACACTTCCAACACGATTTTCACCTATTGATCTAGAACCCAGTCATGTTGCTTCAGATATTGTTTTGCCCACGGGAACATTCAGTTTTGATCATGTTATCAATTCTATAAACAGTAAAACACATGAACTAAAATTATTAGATACTATCAAACCAGTTTCAAAACCTCACACTAAATCAGATCCTTTAATAGACTTTTTCTTTAAAGATGATGGATTTGAGATACTCACATCATCAGCAGTATCAACATCGACACCTTCAGCACCTCAACTAATCATAGAACAAGTTCCCATAACTATTTCACCTGATCAGCCTTCAGAAGGACAAAAACCTCTCATGGAATTTAGTAGTGAAGAATCATTGCCTGTGATCTCTCCTACACCAGCTGCTGTTCTTCAAGAAGGGTTGTATATGGACATGACCGCTCAGAAGATGCCAAAAGTGGTTATTAATAGAGCTGAAAGTGTGGAATATATCCCCCCTTCTGAAATGAAAGCTGCTATGTCTGAAGGCAATTTAATTGATATTTAGGATCAGCAGAATCACACAACTGCTTGTTCTTGGATTTCAAACTGAGTGTGATACACATGGACATGTGCAATAAAGTGCTATTTTACTGTGATATGTGATGATCAATTTTGTTGTGTGATGACTGTTACAAACAAACAGTTCCTGCAGGATTGGCTTTATATGGAATCTTTTATTTACATTTTACTTGAGGCACATGTATTTAAATATGCATCCATGAAAAAACATTTTTTGTGAAACTTTCTAATACAGCTACATACAGAGAGATTTTGAGTCCATATTACAGCTTTTATCAAACATGTTTAAATTTTGTATTAGATTTCCCAATGGGCATGGTGAAGAACCAGTGCAGTGGAACCTGACAAAAATGTAGGAACCAGTTTAAAAAAAAGGTATCAAGTGGCTGCTCCAATATTATAAGAATGTAAATGAATTAGTCAAAATTGATGTTTAGGTTTAAAATACACTGTCTAACCAAACTAACTGCCTGTATCATAATCTCTCAATTTCAAATTATAATATATAACATTTTAGAAAAGGATACATAATTCTCCAAAAAAACAACTTGCCAGCATTTTGCAAAAGGTTTAGAGAACAAGCCATTTATTTGTACAGTTTTGACTTCTGACAAATTATGTTTGTATATTTCAAATCTATGTTTGTATATTTTTGTAAGTTGCTATTATTTATTTTAGACAATATTTGTATAATTTGCATATATTTGTTTGTTTTTATGCTTTAATAAAGTATATTTGTTGATGTTATAAAATAAAATATTTGAAATAAACATGTCTATTAAACTGATTCCAGAAATTTGTTTTACATTACTACATTTTGAATACCTCACACTGACAATTTCCAAAAGTTCATTTGTTTACATCCAAGTAACCACATCATACACATTTTGCAAATCAGAAATAATGTAAATTATTTTCATTAAAAATTTATGTATGATGATTATTATACTGTTTCTGCTGTAAATCTCGCACAAATGGACTACAAATACACACCACATCATGAAGATTTATTCTATTAATATATTCTGTGCATCAAATATAAAATCTCATTGCACCAACACATTTGACTAAATCACCAATGAAAAGACAAGTCTGTATCAACTTATTTACCATTTACCAATTGTTGACATTTATACATGTTCATAGGATAAAAAAAAACTTGGTGACCTCTGTTGAAAATAGAAAAGTATTTGCATAAAAGATATATTTTCGCTGTTGATAACTGTAAGTGTACAAATAACATAATATATAGTGAACATAGTAAAAAATAAATACAAAATAATAATATTACAGCTTAAAATAATAACAAATATAATACAAGTATCACTGTCAATAAACTATGCCACATGACTCTAAACAACAATTACCTGTCATTACCTGACCCAGGTACTGTCAAGTTCTGATGTTTAAAGTTGCTACTTTGATTGTAGTAGCTTGTAAATTTGTTCATTCAGCGCCGTAGCATATACTATTCGTTGTAAGTCCTATGGATTTTGTTTTTTGAGCAAACAAACACTATTCATTGAAAAATTGATCTGACCAATGAAAAGAAATAAAGTCATTAGATCGCTCAAACTAAACAATACCTCTGTCCTTTTATTAAATTATCAGCATATTTTGTTCAGTGTCATCAAAATGAGACAAAAATAATCAAAATACATTCATTAATGCCTCAGTTGTGACACAACACTCGCCACAGAACTCTTCTAAGTGCAGGACAAATTCAATCAAATCTTTATAATTTGAAGATATGAACTATAACCAAAAGGCTGAATCATCATTGAAACTGCATTGCATCATATGGAAATCAAGGTCAGTAACTCAAAAACATACTGGATGAAATTCAATAAGATTCAAAAACTTGCAAAATGTTAAGGTGTGGGCACAAGAATGGTCCTGGTCAGAGATTTTTGTTGCTGACTAGAGTCTTGTCAAGAGTTTCACTGACTGGCACTGGCACACGAGGAGACAAAAATCTCCAGTAGGTCATTTTCCACCATGTCTATAATCAAGTGCGGAGCATGCAATTGAAACTGATTGGATGATGACATATGGTCTTGCAGACAATAAAACTATCGGAGACAATTATCAAACTTGTTTGATGTTCTAAATCTTGTTAGGGACCTGATAATCTTGTCATGGCTGCACCTTCACACGTGAGATTTTACTCAAGACTGTTATCTGCGACAAAAATCTTTGACGGCTTGTGTGACCGCACCTTACTTAAGCTGTACACAAAAGCATATCAAAAATTATCAAATAAAATCTTCTGAAAACTTTCTAAAAACTATATTACTTTTAAATAAATAAAAGATAAAATACAGAGAATTATAACATTGCCGTGAGATGGTTAAGATAACTACACTATATTACCAAAATTAACAAATAAATTTGATTGGTATTCTTTGGTTAAAGCAAAATTCTGATTAAAAATGCTGCAAGTTCACTGTAGACAATAAAAAGCTATCTTAATCAGGTCTGATATAACAATATATATACATGTATTGATCATTTTCACCAATTACCAACTTCATGCCAATCTGAAGTTTACAAGTTAAAGAATAGCTTGCCAGGCAAGATAACATACACCCACTATCTGCTGTCAGAAATGATAAAGTCTGTAGTGGCTTAATAATGAATTTTCAAATAATCTTAGAAATATTTATAAGAAGGCAAAACCTCAAAAACAGTTAATTAAATTATTATAAAATTAAAACATGAATAAGGTCTCATCAATGTACACACAAGAGCAATAACTCTAAAACTGTTCATGTGATTATTACCACATGAATACCAAGTTTCATCAAGATGGGATAAAAACTGTTGACTCTATTGTGCCTACAAACCAAATTTGACGCGTTGCTTATAAAGTGAAGGGCAATAACTGTGAAACCGTTCATACAATTGTTACTAATTTCAAGCTTTACTGAGATCTCATCAATATGTACATGCATATAAAGTTTCCTCAAGATCAGGTAAAACTTGTAGTCTTTATCTTGCCTACAAGCCAAATCTAAGCATTGTATTAATTAAAGGGTAATAACTCTAAAACCGTTCATCCAATTATTACCAATTTCGAACTTGTCTGAGATCATGTCCATATATAAATTTGATGCGTTTTCACCAAGTCAAGGGTAATATTTCAGAAACTGTTCATCTGATTACTACCAAATTCAAACTTGACTGAGATCTCACCAATGTATACATGCATACCAAGTTTCATCAAGATCAGATAAAAACTGTAGTTTTTCGAGGGCAATAACTCTGAAATTGTTCATTCAATTATTACCAATTTAGAAGTGGACTGAAATCTCATCAATATATACATGCATACTAAGTTTCATCAAAATCAGATAAAAATTGTAGTTTTTATCGTGCATACAAGCCAAATTTAACACATTTTTACTAAGTCAAGGACAATAACTCTGAAAACGTTCATCCTAATATTATTAGTTTTAAACTTGACCTTGATCTCACTATACATATATGCATATTCAGTTTCATCAAGATCAGATAAAAAATCAAAACCTTTATCGTGCATACAAGAAATGTTAATGAACGGACAGACAGGGGCAGTGGCAATATACGTCCTCATTTCCATGTGGGCGTATAAAAAATAAGTTCACAATTAGTAGTAATTGAGTCAATCCTTAAAAATTACAAATATGAAGCAGGAAAATCACAGATCAAAACATAACAATAAAATACCAACAAGCTTTATAAACACCCCTACACTTCTATCATTTGTGAGGACATATTATACACTTTGATTACTGTAAAGTAAGAAATCAATGGACTATTCGCACCCTTATTCACAATAATTTCATATTTCCTTAACCCAAAGATAAGTAAGTGATGTATTTGTCAAAGTAAAGTAAAGTTAACAATCTATTACATAACTTCTATGTGATAATAGTTTTCCCTTTACTGGAAAGAAAGATGCTAAATGAAAAGCTGAACAGTGTTAAGGCCTGATTCAATGAGTACTCAAACATACAGTGGTGTAACTTATTTTCGTGGATATAAGGATTCAAGACCGAATTTCGACAAAGTTAAAAAAACGGAAAAAAAATTTGTATGTCTTAGATGTTTCCTCAGATATTCTACAAAATAATTAAATTTGGTTTGTTTCGATTTTCTTTATGAATCCTTCACTTTAACCCATATTTCATGAACAACCAACTCGGCAACGGAGGCAGAATGCGTCACCTATTTTCGTGTACAATGTTTGATCTATAAATAAGTCGAGAAAAACACATTGTATGGATACCTGGTGGTATAATTATTTCTCTTAGTATTTATCTTTAATATCAATTCATTATAACTAGTGAAAATTCCTTGAAAGAACCACGATTCAAAAAAAAAAATAGTGACTGAAAAAATAAGATACGTAGCCTGATTTATTGCTAAAAGTCACTGAAACAACATAAGAATATGGCCCACTTTGTGTTCCATAGAAAATTTTCTGCTGACACGGAATCCGCTAGTTGATCATTCGTTGGACTACATTCTAGCAGACGAAACTTGGAATTCCGATTATCGCTTGGGATTATAAGGAAATTCGGCCGATAAAATATTGTGACGTTTGGTAATAACTGAAATCCGCCATTTAGTATTTGTCAAAGTATACATTAATACATTTTACCTTGCTTGAAACTACTGGATTCATTCTACTAGCTGACATTGTACAGAAAACCCATGTTTATCAAAACAAGCAAATGTGGAGGTCACGCGAGGTCGCACATGTAAATTATTAATCCTTTCCGGAAATGCACGAAAAATAGGTTACCACGAAATTAGGTTACTTGACTGTATAACTCAAACTCAGTAACAATTTCAAACGTAAACTGAAAAATAAACAGATCCTAGCAAATCCAATCAAAATCCTAAACAAATTCAATTTTTAGCATATTTTCAAGCTCAATACCTCTGTAAGCTCAGCATATGACAATTTTTTGTGTGGGTGAACAGCTACGGAAAGCTAAATTGATGACATTGAAGGAAATCCATTACATGTTACGTTGGGGGATTTCCAATATACTATCTCCTTGCCTCCTTTAATTCCTGACTCAATATCACAAGATCTCCTTTTTTATGTTGACAGAGATTTCCTACTTTCAATTCTCCACATACATACACATGGAAGCACTTTTTGAGGTTGAGTTGTGCTTACGGGCACATGGAATCTTAGCATGATGCAAAATTTCTTGTTTTACAGTACCACCATATAACAAAAAAATATTATGTTTTTCAGTCCTAAACTAACATTTAACACAGATACAGAAAGACCACATTCTTAAAACCATTAATCTGAAAGGTTAGCACAATAAAATCTTATTCTATAACATTTATTCCTATTGAATAGTGCCTAAAGAATGATTAAATAAAAAAGAAATTTGTAGATCTAATTTTGACAAAATATGACTAATAAGATGTAACATGACAATGTACCATTAAAACCTGTTCAGGTATTCCTTAAGTTTTCATTGTATTTTTTGTAAAACATTTCAATAAAGCCAAGACATTGACTGAGTATTGACTTTCTACAAAAAAAAACTAAAACTACATCTAATGAATTGAATAACAAAACAGTCTAAAATTACATCTTATAAAAGCATATATCATTATACCTATACCTTATATAAGTAAATTTCCATTTTACACAAATATTGACAATTTGCAGTGTACAATAACTATCTAAAAGTATTCTCAAAAATTGTTGACAATGTGTTAAATATAAACATTTATAATCTCTACAATATTAGCTGCCATCAAGATGGACTTCCTCCACAACATTTCTTTTCTTTCTTAACATCTCTTTTCTTTCGTAAATTAACAGTACTTCCAACACGAGAAGAGGAAAAATCTTCACTTGGTAATTTTTTACCTGAAATAATGTATGATAAATAAGTAATGATGAACTCCCCACAAAACACTTACCGTAACAAATAATCTAATCTCGATCTCATAATACTTAAACCAGAGAAAGTTAGAGCACAGGCCTGAAATAGTCTACTTGACATACCTCAAACTAGAAATTTCAGTGCCTATTCCTATATATGCCTTTTCTATATATGGCATATTCTCACTAAAATTTGAGTCGAATAACTTTCAAACGTGAATAATTATGGATTTAACGATGGGCTGTGAACACTATTACTGATTATGTAAGCTAAAAATATTCCTGTTTCTGAAACTAAGGTATGATTGGTTGAATGGATAGTGAAGGTGCTCCTGTAAGTAATCACTTATAGGTTTATAATAAACATCCTATTCCTTGTTTGATAACCAACAAGTGAATTGTATTTGATTCGATTTTGAAAAAGATAGTGGATTACTTCCAAATATGATCAAATGTTGTTGAAGGTTCTATGAAAAGAGCTTGAAACTAAAATAACCATCTTCAATTGTCACAGACTATCATAAAGGCATACATCAAAATATAGTCATAGCCAGCCAGCCAAAATTCAAAGGATTTAGGCATTAAATATATATTTACTTACATATTTTAGTGAAAATATCTGCCACATTAACAGCAGTTAGAGCACTTGTCTCACAAAATAATGCATCAATTTGTTTAGCATAATCTTCTGCATCTAAAATATGAAATTTCAAAATATTTTAGTACAAGTGGTTGCCTAGCATGATACGTCCACTTTCCTGATAAATTTTCAGTATATCAAGGGCAGTCACCCATCTGTGTCAAATCATACCAAAAATTTAATTTGTGCAAGATATTGTTGATTTAAACAAACACACATTATTTAATAAAATTCTGACATAAACTGTCACCTCTATCGCAAAGAAATTGTCATGGTCAATAACTCAAATTCCGTTGATCGAAAAATTGTCAAATTTAATCTTGACTAAGATCTCATCATTATAAATAATCATACCAAATTTTATTTTAATAAGATGAAAACTGTACCCTCTATTGTATTCACAAACAAATTTTGACGAGTTTTTCATAAATCAAGGGCAATAAATCAAAAACCATTCATCGAAAGATAGCCAAATTCGAACTTGTCCAAGATCTTATCATTATAAATATTCACACCAAATTTCATTGAAATCGGATAAACACTGTAGTCTCTATCGTGTTCACAACCAAATTTTGACAAGTTTTTATAAGTCAAGGGCAATAACTCAAAACCGTTCATCGAAAGATCGTCAATTTCGAACTTGTCCAAGATCTCATGAATATAAATGATCACACCAAATTTCATTCAAATCAGATGAAAACTGTAGTCTTGTATCGCGTTCACAAGCCAATTTTGACGCGTTTTGGCTAAGTCAAGGGCAATAACTCAAAAACCGTTCATTGAAAAATCGTGAATATCAAACTTGTCCAAAATCTCATCAATATAAATGATCACACCAAATTTAATTTGAATTAGATCAGAACTGTAGTCTCTATCGCGTTCACAAGCCAATTGTGGACGGCCGGCCGGATGGACGTGGGTGACGACAATATATGTCCACATTATATTGTGGGCGTATAAAAATCTTTCTATACACAGGGAAGTTGTTGATTTACTGTTTAATCAAAGATTCTGTTGGAAATAGAATCAAAATTGTTGATATTCAATGTTTTTTACATCATTATTATCATGTGTTAATCTAATTTCTAGTTAAAAGTTGCAAGGAAAAGTTACTATGGACAAGGGAAGAAACTCTGTTTCCAGCCAATGCTAAGTGCTAAACTTCAACTTGATCTCTAACTTATACAAGGTTTATCACAGTAATCCATGGCTTTAGATACTACCACTAATGAACAGAAGGAACATGGGTGCCGACAAACTATACGTTCACAAACAGAAAGAAAGAAACAATTATTTTTTACAAGGATAATAAGTTGATAGTTAAGGATCCTTTCTACTATCTGGTCCTTGGCAAAAACTCTTGGCAAGAATCTTTCCTCGATCATCAGTAACTCCTTACAGCTGGGCTGACTGGAATTATGAGTCATCTGACTCTTTCATCGAGATTAGAACCTACGTTACGCAGCAAATGTCATGTAAAGAACCAACTCTCTAACCGACTGTGCTTAAGAACCTCACAATTGATGTGTATGAAAAGAAAACTCACCTTTTAACCTAACTTCTCTGAGATCTTCTAAATCACATTTATTACCAGCAATAGCTAAAACTATATTAGGATGACCTTGATGTCTTAACTCTTGTACCCAACTTTTCACTGATTTAAAAGATGACTGAAAAAAGATGAAAAAAGGGAGAGTAAAGATCTAATTGCGGACAAGAGATGGATTTTGCATACACTTATATTCTAGCCATGACAAGAATTTATCAGACAAGAGTGATCAAGTATTTATAGTAAAGTATGAAATTTTCCCATTTTTAAAATTTTTGACAACATCAAACTTTTAAAAATCTGGAAACAGAATTCATCTGCCATGCAGTTTGCATTGAAGGAAATTCTGCCAACATTAACCCCAGAAACATTAACATTAACCAGCAACATTAACCTTTTGTCATGGAATCTTTAATTAGCTTTTTGTATGTCAGTCATTCATAACATAACATTCTAAAATATCTTACCTCTCTTGTCACATCATAAGCTATTATTGCTGCAGCTGCACCACGATAGTACATAGGTGCTAGAGCTCGATACTGAAAATATTCAAATGAAATAATTTTTGATACAACTTCTGATAATAATTTGATACGAAACACAAGATATATTTTCAAGAAGACTTTTTTGCCAAAAAGAGATAGCTTGCCAGGCAAGGAAATATTTGCCAACTGGCAGCTTTTATTTTGAATAAAAATATTTAGCAGTACAGTAACAATCACCAGTACAGAATATGAAATATTCAACCTTCAGTCATACACTTCTTTTGAACTTTTTGGGGTGATACTGAACAATATTATTAATTTATGTCAAAATCCGACAAGAATAGTGCCTTTTAGTGCTTATGAGCTAAAAATTTAAAGTGTTTTCAAGAACTAGGTCAATAACTCATATTAAATATTTTTCGATAGGGTTCGTCCATGGGTGATAAACAATTTTCTTTCTTCATAATTTGTCAAGAATTGTGCCTTCTTGAGTGCTTACAAGCTAAAAATTGAATGCGTTTCTAAGAATCAATAACTCATAATAAATTTTCAATCAGGTTCATCTTTGGCTGATTACAAAAACTCGCACTATGTTTCGTCAAAATCTGTCAAGAACCTTACCTTCTAGAGTGTAAATGTTTAAATATTGTATGCGTTTTCAAGAACAGGCAATAACTAATACTTTTCAATTTCTCTCATTTTCAATAGGGTGCATCCTCGGGTGATAACGTTTACACCAAGATTTATCAAAATCTGCTGAGAATTGTATCTTCTAGAGTGTTCACAAGCAATTATGGACAGATGGACGTGGGTGACACCAATATATGCCCCCCATTTCATGTGCACAATCAAACTAATATTTAATCATCCAAAACAATCATGAAGAAGATAAAGGTGATCAGAGTTTAAAATAATAATCTGGATTCTAATGACAGGATACATTGTGAGTCAGATAAAAATAAATTTAAAAACACTTATATTTAAAACCATTTATGTTCCAACGTTTCCCTTAAATACAGTAGAGGTTCCTCTGGGAAGACTAAACACAAAATAAAGCAATAAAGATAAAGTCATCATTTGAAGAATTCCATGTGGGCGTATAAAAATGAGATGAATCTTTTTCTGTAACAGTAAACATCGTGATTGTTTTTCTGATGGAAGATTGTTAAAACACTGTAAATAACATAATCACCTTCTCTTGTCCTGCTGTATCCCATATCTGAAATTTGTACGTATTACCATCTACTTCTACAGTTTTAGTCATAAACGATGCTCTGAAAAATAGAAATAATTCTTCAATTGTAACAATGCATTGGTGTTATCTAATTTTCTATAACAGTCCATTTAAAGATAAGATAATGTTGGTCAAATGTTTTATCAGATTATGAAGTTACCTAGGTATATATATTCTTTACTTTTTTATTTTAAATAAAACAATGTTATAAACTATTCGATCAACTGTATTTTTTTTTAACAAATCTTCAAGATCACCTACATGAAATGTGATTATGCATCCAAACTTAAAAAAAAAACCCAAAAAACAATTGTGTCAAATTCCTTGATACTTCTGTACACAGATTTACCAATTTTAGATATATTGTTGGTTTTTTCATTAATGTTAATAGAGAGAGTTTTTTTGTTTTATGACCTTCTTTAGCTTTTTACATTTAAGCAAATAGTATGCTTTCCAAATTAGCTTCACTCCAACTCTACCCTTGCTACTTTAAACTAAAAAATCTCCTTAATGCACATTTATTGTAGTTAAAGAAATGAAATGGAATACTCACCCAATGGTACTTTCTAAAGCTGGTTTAAAAGAATCTGTGACAAATCTCATAACCAAGCTAGATTTTCCAACACCAGAATCCTTAAAGAAGAGAAATGATAGCAATATAGTGTGTTACACAAAATGTCATCAAAGTTTATTAGATAGATAATTTATCTTGTTAGAATATCTGTGAATGTGTGAGGGTGTGTGTGTCAACAATCAACGATCAACAAAACAAGATATATTTGAAAAGATAAATATTTTTGTAGTACCATTTTCTTCCTTCACCATTTATGTCACGTCTTCGATTTCATCAAATTTTTGTTTAAGCAAAACTATTCTTGCATTAGCCATTTAGCAGCCAAAAGTTCAACAGCCACAGAGTCCAGAATACTAACAAAAGGAAAGTTATGTGATGATAACACTAATTTACAGTAATCGTATTTAAATGTTATTTAATATCATGTTAGAAAAAACGCATCTTTGGAGTTATACAGGGCCTATTTTTTCTGACTCTACTCCAGCCGACAATTGTCAAAAATATCCATCAGAATCTGGATTAGAGGCAGATGTTTCGGACTAATCAAAAATATTAAAATAGAACTTGAAACACTGTATGACTCAGGCTCTGTTTAAATATATCTATATCCCTCTATAATTGGTGTATTTTGTTATTGTATATATCTTATTCTAATGAATATGATGACTCTTCATTCTGTTTGTGCAAAATTACATAATCTATTCACACAATAGAAACTGTGCCCCTTGTACACAACCTCCAGATTCATCTCTTTGTTATAAGGTCTTGGAGATATTTTGTCATATAGTGGCGTAACCTATTTTCATGCATATAAGAATTCAACACAGAATTTCGATAAAGTTAAAAAACAAATTTTTTTTTTATGTCTTAGATGTTTCCTCAGATATTCTACAAAATAATTAAATTGGTTTGTTTCGATTTTCTTCATGAATCCTTCACTTTGACCTATATTTCATGAGCAACCAACTCAGCAACAGTGGAAAAATGTGTCACCTATTTTCGTGTACAATGTTTGATCTATAAATAAGTCGAGAAAAACACATTGTATGGATACCCGGTGGTATAATTAACTTCCCTTAGTATTTATCTTTAATAATATTTCATTATAACTAATGACAATTCCTTAAAAAAAAACATGATTTAAAAAAAAATAGTGACTGACAAAATAAGATACGTAGCGTGATTTATTGCTAAAAATCATTGAAACAACATAAGAATATGGCCCACATTGTGTTCCATAGAATTTCTCTGATGACACGGAATCCTCTAGTTGATCATGTGACTGCATTTGTAGGACAACATTCTAGCAGACGACATTTGGAATTTGGATTACATTTTACCTTGCTTGAAATTACTGGATTCATTCTACTAGCTGACATTGTACAGATAACCCATGTTTATCAAAACAAGCAAATGCTAAGGCCACGTGAGGTCGCACATGTAAATTATTAATCATTTCCGGAGATGCACGAAAAATAGGTTAGCACAAAATTAGGTTACTTGACTGTATCACAGTATAGTACCATAGTCTGTTTGTGTGCATATAAAAAATATTATGTGGTTATTTGGTCACAAAAAGTTGTGACTACTGAGAGGAAAGTGAAGGGAATATCAAAGGTATCCAACAGTTTATGATACCTATTGCTTATATTTTCAGACTATAAGCATTTGATTATATTTTTGCTTATATGAGAATGACAGGATATTTTTAATTTGGAAAACACAGAGTGGTAAAGTTGATATACTGTGAACTGTGAACATACCCCTAACAAACACAATTTCACATCTCGCATAGACATTCTGTAGCAAATATCTATTCAATACTTCGGGACACGAATTTTATATCAACAATTTGAAACATTGATCAAAAATTAATACATCTTTTTCATAAAATTATATTTCTTTCTACCATTCTATAATATCGCCATTTTGACCGTCACTTAATCACGTGATGTCAATGCGGTGTTGCCAAATTGTTGTTACAAATCATTCATATTGAACTCAAGATGTGGACTAGATATTTTAAATGTGGTATAGTCTACCTGTGATGATTTTTTATTTGACAGTGATGAAAAAAATGGCAATAATAAGGGTTTAGTTTTTAAAAAAATAATAATTATACTCTGGTACTCTATGTAGAAAGCAATAAAGACATCAAGGGGAGTTAACCCCACAAAAACATTTATACGAATGTAGTCCAGGCTATATTTAGAAATCTTCTTTCTCTCTCCCTCTTGGAGTTTTTGCATGCCTATTTTTGAGTAATTTTTTCTCTAGATTTGGAATTTGATGTCTGAAATTGCATTATCTTTAAGATTTGGAGAAATGATGAGAGACTTAAAGACGGAAGGATAATTCTAAAGATTACAATACACGGTACGGTAACATACGCCCACTGGCATCTGTCAGAAATGATAAAACATATGGACAAATGTCTTTATGGATGTAAAACCTGTTTTTCCCTGAATCGTACGCTCTAAATTTCAAAACACACATATCTAGAAGAAAACAACAAGATGTTATTTAATTAAAATTTTATTAAAACTTTTTGACGAGATATGGCACGGTTATTGCCAACAAATGATTCACCACAAAATTGTGTCCATACAAATTATATGTCCATATCCCATAATGTGACGACCGCCACAAGTTATTATGCATATGGTCGCTCACGTTTAATGTTAAATCCATATTTATAAACCCATGTTAAGTTATTGCACAAAGAGCAATTCTAAGGCTTTTAATTGTTTTTTCCAAAAAGGTCAATTAGGGCCTAGCCTAATGACTAGTTTGAAGATCAAGATCACGGAAAAGGCAATATATTATGAAGTAATGGACCGAATTATTGTAGTGATGAAACATCGTTTCACCGACAACAGTTGGCTCTATAAATCCGTTCGAGCCTTGTCGCGAGGATCATCGAACTTTTTGGAACGTCTGAGCATCTGAAACTAGATATAGAGACTACAGTTTTCATCCGACCTTAATGAAACTTAGTATGCATATATATATTGATGAGATCTCCGTCAAGTACGAAATGGGTAATAATCGGATGAACGGTTTCAGAGTTATTGCCCTTGACTTAGTAAAACGCGCCAAATTTGCCTTGTAGGCACGATAGAGACTACAGTTTTCATCTGATCTTGATGAAACTTGGTATGCATGTATATATTGATGAGATTTTGGTCAAGTTCGGAATTGTTAACAATTGTATGAAGGGTTTCCGAGTTATTGCCCTTGACTTAGTAAACACTTGTCAAATTCGGCTTGCAGGCACGATATAGACTACAGTTTTGATCCAATATTGATGAAACTAGATATGCATGATGAGATCTCGGTCAAGTTAGAAATTGGTAATAATCGAATCAACCGTTTCCGAGTTATTGCCCTTGTGTGTGCGTTTTTCTATATTTCTATATATCACACAGTATCTCAAATTGACGAGTCGTCATTTCAACATTCAATCGCGGATAATTATGGACACACAGATTAGGTTCAAAGAATATTGTGACGAATGTTTAAGAGGCCAGTCTACAGAGCCTAACTGAAATGGCTATATTAAAAATAAAATCAAATAAAAATGGAAGGAAAGTTTGATCTCATTTTAATTAGACTGACAAATTACAAACCTCAATGTTGTCAATGTGTTATAGTAATTTTCCTTGTATCGATCACGTCGCTCATTGGCATAATCATAGTTGCGCCTACTTGGCCGGTGATTTTCGTAGCATTTTCTGAAGTGTCTGCCACCTTGTCTTTTGTGATGGTAGGGTTAAAAGTGTCCGCCAGCTTGATTCCAGCCGATTACTAAGAAATCGTCAAATAAAGTGAGTGAGAAGGTATTTAATTAGTTAGTCCTTTTTTCAAGGTATTCGTACTGTTTTGTTAATTGTCCTCTATCATAGATGTCTATCAACATCTCTTCTTGTAATTTTGATAGAATCTAGTGTATGCCTATATCATCTTCATGCTCAGACATACATACAATATGATACAAGTAGGCTATTAGTATTGAATACACCACAAAGTCAGACCACATTAGTTTTACTGTATCTATCCTATAATGTAATTAATGTATAATGGTCGGACATGGTTTACCACTTTCATGAATTGATTTGAGTCCTGAATAAATGACTATCGGATTGGGAATCTTATTTTGATTTGCTGTTGCGCTTTGGTTTCAGGCCTGTTGCTTCTAAGGGGTGTGTGGGGGGGGGGGGGGGGGGGGGGGGGGTGGGGGGACAGGAGCTTCCCTGGCATAGGCCTACGGATTTTTCAAACCGGTTTCCCCCTGCCAGTGATGCAGGTAAGAGGGGCTGACATGGAAAAATTGGGACAATAAACCGAGGCCCTGTGTACTATGTTAACGATCCCTTGACGGTTGGAAATCAATAATGGGCAGGCTAAAGTAAGACGTAAAACTCGTTTCATTTTTTCATCTTCTAAATCCATCCAACCACATCTTGTAGCACAGTGATGGTACTAGCTGGAGCTTCCCTGATTTAGTGATCTATATAATTAACCCTAGGAAACTGATTGACAACTGAACAATAAATGCAGTGGCTCTGGCCAAAGACATTGCCTCTGGCATAGGTTGAGATAATGCCTACGGATTTTTTAAACCGGTTTCCCCCTGCCAGTGATGCAGGTAAGAGGGGCTGACATGGAAAAATTGGGACAATAAACCGAGGCCCTGTGTACTATGTTAACGATCCCTTGACGGTTGGAAATCAATAATGGGCAGGCTAAAGTAAGACGTAAAACTCGCTTCATTTTTTCATCTTCTAAATCCATCCAACCACATCTTGTAGCACAGTGATGGTACTAGCTGGAGCTTCCCTGATTTAGTGATCTATATAATTAACCCTAGGAAACTGATTGACAACTGAACAATAAATGCATTGGCTCTGGCCAAAGACATTGCCTCTGGACTTAGCAAGATTGTTTCTGGACTTGAATCTTATCCACCAGTCTTCCCCCGCTTGTTTGTTTGTTGCAGTTTTATGTCTTTTAAAGGGGTATTCCACTTTCATATGCTCACATGAAGGGGGGGGGGAAGCGTAATAGGCATCAAGCCCTCCATCCACAAGCGCTCGTTAAAACTCAAGTATGCACAATTCTTTATGGATTTTGACGAAACTTGGTGTGATTGTTTTTTATCAACCGAGGATGAACCCTATCGAAAATCAGAAGGGTCGAAAAATATTTAGTATGAGTTATTGCCCTGTTTCTTAAAAACGCGTTCCAAGTTTTAGCCTGTAAACACTCTAGAAGGCCCAATTCTTGACAGATTTTGATGAAACTTGTTAATATTAGGCTATTTGTATTTTGCGAAACGCAACATAACGGAACAAGACTAAATCATGTTCTGTTCTGCAAAATACAGATTTATACCCCTGATCAAAATTGTAAAAAGGCCAGGCTTAATTTTATTATTATTATTATTATTGTTATCTGTATTTTGCGGAACGGAAAAAGATCATTAATTCCCTTTTCGACCCACAAAAAAGCGGGATGTCCCTTCATGCAAGCAGTTTTATGTCTTTTAGGTCTCTTTCATTTTACATGGAATTATAAGGTGCCTGACATGCAACAATCAACAATTCAGGATTGTTCTGCTGCCTTGTAAACTTAACAAGTAGCTAATATGTAATTTTGTTAGCTAGCTTTGGTGTTCATTGCTGGATTTCTTTAGTTTAAACTTTCCTTAAGGGACACATTTCTCCAGATTTTGGTGTGTACCTAGAAAAAAAAGGATGGCGAACCTGTTCCTTTAATTAGTAATGTAACATATGAAGGGTTACAAATATCTGAATCTTTGAGAACAGGTAATTGAGAAGTTTCAATAGGATAGTATTTTCTGAACTTAAATTTTCAGGTTCATCTCCAAAGTCTTTATCCTGACCTCATTAAATTAAATAACCATTGACAGAATTAGAAAAAATAAAATAAATATGGTTTTGTTTGCATTTATTATGCAATTTTCAGCAGCATTAAAATGTAAAATAATTGTCTAATTTTCAAATATTAAGTTCTTCAGAATTTAAAAAATATATATTAGTTTTGACCATGAAATAATTTGGATTAATTTACTGAAAGATGCTTATGTTTAATAGTTGGTTTCAGTTGAGTGGATCTATATTTGTACTGTAAATAATATATCGTGAAACAGTGTAGTGAATAGTGTAAAGATGTACTTGGTACGATAACACTACGCAATACCTGGTAATTGTTATATATAATATAAATAGTTGAACTATACTAGTTTTAGTCTGTTTACGTGGGCCACTGGTGTAAGGTAATCAGTTTCATTTCTCACAATACTTTACTTATGACTTTTTTTTTTAAAGATTTATTTGCACATTTTTATTGTATTTATAATGTCATACCATAAAATTGTGTTCCATTATTTAATATTTATGTTTTTTTTTAAAATTATCTCTTATATATTTCCTTTCTTCAAGTAACATTTTTAGAAATCTTCTCGAAAATATATTTTGATGCTAAAAACCAGTATGAGAAAAAAAAAGGACGATATGATATGATGGCATTTTTCCTATATCGGTATACAGTTGAAATATTATTGTAACAATATCTGTCATATCAGACCTGAAAAAGGCTATATCATGAGATTTGAGCAGAGCTAACTGTTTAAACGATGACCAACCTCATCAATTTATTCTTAAATTCAATCAGTAATTTTATGCTGATCAGTTTTCGAAATACTTCGGACGTTTTCTGTCATGATATTTGAACCTGTCATGAAAAAAATTTCTAATCACAAAAAAATCTTATTTGG